AAGCCAAAGCTAGCACTAGGCATCTGATATATTGGGCAATAGTTTAAAAAAAGTTATCTAGGGTAAGAAATGGTATTAACGTGAAACTTTACACATCAGACTGTAGGACTACAGCACACATGGCCTGCTATTAATTTTGGTCTTCTTGTTTCCTGGTCCCCTTTTTCTTTTCAGACAATTTCAGTCCTCTCTGGAGGTACATTTTGCCATAGCAATTTTAGCATAACCTGATTTCTGAAAGAAGCAAACAACCCTTTTAGCAAATAGCCACCTCCTAACCTGTCATTTGTTCTAAATACGAGTTTACTGAAGGTTAAACTGCAACATTTTAAAGTAACTACATATCTAGCTTCCAAAAGCACAAGATTAAAACTGTAGTCAAAGCAAGCAAAGGAAACAGATGTTTCAAACATTTCAGGAGGGTTCTTTTACTAAATAAAATCTAATATTATATTCAGAGTAAGCAACAGAGATCCTTATAATGAATGGGTGGCATACTGTACAGTGGATCAGGAATTATAAAACTAAATTAAAAACCCAAATCTAATTTGCTATAAAAACAAATCGCTCTTAGCTCTTGAAAAGAAAGTTGATGAGATATGCAATGAATCAGTCTTCTGCATTTGGAATTTTGATGCTTAATTCTTTGTCTATTCTGTTGTTGAATTACAAATTTCAACATATTGTGAAAAATATATATTATTTATCATTAGCTTCATAAAGCTTTTGGCTGTGATTTTAAAGTGACCCACCAGTCACCGATCACTAGTGGAAATTCAGATGTTAAAAATTCTGTGGCCCTTTTCAAGGAGTACTAGAGGACACATTAACATTTGTTCTTATAATAAAACAGATTCTAAGATTTGATACTGTACGCAGATGAAGCACTGGTGCATTTGCTTACCCAGTTTGCACTACCATTGTTTTTTAAAGCACTGTTGGGATACAATCAAAGAATCACAGAAATGTAGGGTTAGAGGTACCTCAAGAAGTCATCTAATCCACCCCTCATGCTAAAGTTATTTGCACACGATGTGCAGATAGCATCTTTCCAATAATCACCAAAAATACTGTTTTCTATTAGTAAGTATCCTTCAACAGGATCAGAATAAACTAGCTAAAAACAAATGTGTGCATGCACACATATGATACGGATCACTGCCTTCTAAAAGATAGAATTAGAACTACTTAGCTGTGTGTCAAAAGCCTTAGCCTGCTGTGACTCATCTTTAGCTCAAGTGGGAGGAGCCAGTGCTTTCAGGGCAGGAGAATTTGAATTCTATAGAATCATAGAATATCAGGGTTGGAAGGGACCTCAGGAGGTCATCTAGTCCAACCCCCTGCTCAAAGCAGGACCAATCCCCAATTAAATCATCCCAGCCAGGGCTTTGTCAAGCCTTACCTTAAAAATATCTGAGGAAGGAGATTCCACCACCTCCCTAGGTAACACATTCCAGTGTTTCACCACCCTCCTAGTGAAAAAGTTTTTCCTAATATCCAACCTAAACCTCCCCCACTGCAACTTGAAACCATTACTCCTTGTTCTGTCATCTGCTACCACTGAGAACAGTCTAGATCCATCCTCTTTGGAACACCCTTTCAGGTAGTTGAAAGCAGCTATCAGATCCCCCCTCATTGTTCTCTTCCGCAGACTAAACAATCCCAGTTCCCTCAGCCTCTCCTCATAAGTCATGTGTTCCAGTCCCCTAATCATTTTTGTTGCCCTCCGCTGGACATTTTCCAATTTTTCCACATCCTTCTTGTAGTGTGAGGCCCAAAACTGGACACAGTACTCCAGATAAGGCCTCACCAATGTCGAATAGAGGGAAACGATCACGTCCCTCGATCTGCTGACAATGCCCCTACGTATACATCCCAAAATGCTATTGGCCGCCTTGGCAACAAGGGCACACTGTTGACTCATATCCAGCTTCCTGTCCACTGTAACCCCTAGGTCCTTTTCTGCAGAACTGCTGCCAAGCCGTTCGGTCCCTAGTCTGTAGCGGTGCATGGGGTTCTTCCGTCCTAAGTGCAGGACTCTGCACTTGTCCTTGTTGAACCTCATCAGATTTCTTTTGGCCCAATCCTCTAATTTTTCTAGATCCCTCTGTATCCTATCCCTACCCTCCAGCGTATCTACCTCTCCTCCCAGTTTAGTGTCATCTGAAAACTTGCTGAGGGTGCAATCCAGACCAGATCATTTATGAAGATATTGAACAAAACTGGCCCAAGGACTGACCCTTGGGGCACTCCACTTGATACTGGATGCCAACTAGACCTGGAGCCATTGATCACTCCTCGTTGAGCCCGACAATCTAGCCAACTTTCTATCCACCTTATAGTCCATTCATCCAGCCCATACTTCTTTAACTTGCTGGCAAGAATACTGTGGGAGACCGTGTCAAAAGCTTTGCTAAAGTCAAGGAACAACATGTCCACCGCTTTCCCATCATCCACAGAGCCAGTTATCTCGTCATAGAAGGCAATTAGATTAGTCAGGCATGACTTGCCCTTGGTGAATCCATGCTGACTGTTCCTGATCACTTTCCTCTCCTCTAAGTGCTTCAGAATGGATTCCTTGAGGACCTACTCCATGATTTTTCCAGGGACTGAGGTGAGGCTGACTGGCCTGTAGTTCCCAGGATCCTCCTTCTTCCCTTTTTTAAAGATGGGCACTACATTAGCCTTTTTCCAGTTGTCCGGGACTTCTCCGGATCACCATGAGTTTTCAAAGATAATGGCCAATGGCTCTGCAATCACATCCGCCAGCTCCTTTAGCACTCTCTGATGCAGCACATCCGGCCCCATGGACTTGTACTCGTCCAGCTTTTCTAAATAGTCCCAAACCACTTCTTTCTCCACAGAGGGTTGGTCACCTCCTCCCCATGCTGTGCTGCCCAGTGCAGTAGTCTGGGAGCTGACCTTGTTCGTGAAGACAGAGGCAAAAAAAGCATTGAGTACATTAGCTTTTTCCACATCCTCTATCACTAGGTTGCCTCCCTCATTCAGTAAGGGGCCCACACTTTCCTTGACTTTCTTCTTGTTACTAACATACCTGAAGAAACCCTTCTTGTTACTCTTAACATCTCTTGCTAGCTGCAACTCCAGGTGTGATTTGGCCTTCCCAATTTCACTCCTGCATCCCCGAGCAATATTTTTATACTCTTCCCTGGTCATTTGTCCAGCCTTCCACTTCTTGTAAGCTTCTTTTTTGTGTTCAAGATCAGCAAGGATTTCACTGTTAAGCCAAGCTGGTCGCCTGCCATATTTACTATTCTTTCTACACATTGGGATGGTTTGTCCCTGTAACCTCAATAAGGATTCTTTAAAATACAGCCAGCTCTCCTGGACTCCTTTCCCCCTCATGTTATTCTCCCAGGGGATCCTGCCCATCAGTTCCCTGAGGGAGTCAAAGTCTGCTTTTCTGAAGTCCAGGGTCCGGATTCTGTGCTCTCCTTTCTTCCCTTTTCAACATCAATGTGAATCTCTGAGTGGGCATAGTGTGCAGCAAAGCCACAACCATGAATGTACTGCAGTATTAATGTAACACATGAAACTAAGCGTGAAAGAGCCCTGGGTTAGTGCAGTGATTAAAACTGCAATTGCAACTTGACTGCAAAATCCATTGGTGACAATATCAATGGAAACCAGAGACATGCAAAACATTTGCACTGAATTTAAACCAAGCCTGGGTCTAAGGTTGCGTGTGTTCCACAAACATAGGCAGAGAATGTTTGCACAAAGAAAAAGCGCACAGTGTTAAGCCAGCAACCTCCCCTCCAAGTGGCATGCTTCTCTCCCACCCCCATATCCTGAACAAGCCCTGGGAACCCCACCTCACCTTACCTTTGGAGGAGAATTAGAGCTTGCTTTGGGGTATAGGAAGGAGTGATCTTAGTGGAGGTGATTTTCCATGTTGAGGAAGGAATTTGTCGAATTCAAACCTCCAAATCAACCTTCAGTGGTTGGTTCAGTTTTAATTCCTACAAATCAAACTGTGGCATTCAGAACCCCACCATGAACAGCCCCTACAGATCAATTACAACAGTTTCTCTTAATTTCTCACTCAACAGAGGGCATAACTTTCTTCTCTCTCATATAAGTGAAAGGGACCTGCATATATATACATATTTGTGTGTGTGTGTGTGAGAGAGTGAGAGATGTTAAGAACAGAATTTAATTGAAATGCATTCTGTGTCTTTCAAGTTAGGTGTGACTCTTAGATATACGATATGACAGGAAAATTATGCCTTCCATGTGTAGAGATGTGCAAATGCCTCATTAAGTTTAATGATTATCATAAAAGTGGCTCCACAAAGAAACGCTTTGTTACTGAAAAGCAGCAGTGACACGGTAAAGCCATGTTTGAATTGTGTTATCACTGAACTGACTAAATTAATAAATCGGCACAGAAATTATTCTGTTTGTAAATAAAGGGCTATATTTTCAAAACTTTATGTGAACAGGGTACATTATAAAAAGATAATTTAGCAGCCCAAGAAATTATGCACACAGCATATTTTCAGACTTGATCTCAAGTCAACTTGAATGAACGTGTGCGTGTGTGTCTAAGCACTGAGGGAATGCAGAACGAGGAGATGGGGACACATCTATACAACAAGATGGACAAGAGGAATCTCTCTTAAAAGGATATGTCAGGCAAGAAATTATAAGTGCAGGTTTTGATAGAGGAAAACATACAAATAAACAATTAACAACAATATATATAGCTGATTCTGAGTATCCATCCATCCATATACAAAGCTATTCCGGATATAGCACAAGGGACATTAGTCTAAGAACAAATCCTCAAAGGAAGGAAGGATATACTGACCTATATACAATGACAACACAATCTTACATATAAACAAGGTTTATACAAGTATGGGTTTGATAAACAGACCATTAACAATTCCTGCTAGTAACAGCAATTATTTAAAAAGCCACACAGGAGCCAGACCATGCCTTTACACTACCAAGTATGAATTCTGACACATGAATTTAAACAAGAAATTAACCAGTTTATTATATTCACATATGTACAACATATTACAAATTAAAGTACTGTACTAAGTCACTGCATGACAGCAAGGTCTCCATACAGGCAAAAGAAAGCACATTGAGAAGCAGTGGCTCTGGAATTGTTACATAAGTCTTTGGTATTAGAAATACAGTTTAAGATGCAGCGTTTAACTCATTCAGTACAGGGCATTAAACAGAGACAACCAAGATGTACAGTATGAATACTATGAAAAAGTGTTAAGATATTACTTTAATTCTTCTCCAAGGTAAATTGCTGGACCCCTGAGTTGCTAAAAAGCACACAACCAATTTAGGGTAACAAGGTGACTTATCAAATTAATGTTTAAAAAACCCTAGGTTACTGAACATAACAGATGTGTTTCTTAATTTGTATTGAATTAAACTGCTTCTCCTCATACAAGAACTATATGCTAATAGCTAAGCACAAAACATTTCACAGAGCTAGAGCCTATTCCTTTACCCTTAAAGCAGGCAAAGCTGCCAAAGAACCAGTGTGGTCCATTTAAGGAGAACAGGATCAGGCCCACAACACATAATACTATTGCATGGCAAAATATAACCAGACAACATACCAAAGTCTAAACTGCTGTACAGATCACTTTATAAAATATCTTTTAGGAATCATTTACAAATGCTCTAAATCAGTTCCATCAAATAAATGTATTCAACTCAATCACAGTTACATAATTTTGAGGTAAACTCCCTGAAACTATACTACTTTGGCAGAGATTCATCCCTAACCCTAAGGTTAAAATTCACCCATATGCAGAGAATTTCAGAGAGGCTCGCTGCACCACTTGGCCCTGCAAAGGGGCTGCCTACAGGATGCAGTGTGTGTGTGTGAGGAATGGCTGCAACCCCCACCCCCACCCCCATGTGAATGGGATGTCTGTGCTGGCCACAAATAGGCCAGCATAAAAGTGGGGATCACGGGGGCGGGGGAGAGCAGCCCAAGGGAGGGGAGTTGGGATATGTGCTCATTCTGTGGAGGATCATTGGATATCATTCAGTCTATAGGATGGATAGCAGTTGCAAAGGGGCTGTATTGCTGGTCTGTGTGCACATTGTGGGAATGGATTCTCCTGTGTTTTGTACTGGAAGGAGGAGAGTGTCACACACAGGAAAAATACAGTTCAGAATTTTATGTATGTAGGAACATTTTGTTTAGCCCAAATTTTACAGGTAAGAGATTAGCTAAATATTAACAATTGTATATTCACACCTGTACAACATCACCACTAACACTTGTTTCAACTTTTTCTTCTATGAACCAGGACTTTCAAACTTTATTAAAATTCTGGATCTCAAAAGACAGATATCACTTGCTCATACCTGACACCAAGGTTACAGGCTTTCATGCAAACTTGGGGGCTCTTTTTCTTAGGATAATCGACACTTATGCATTACATTGTGGAAGGAACAGTCCACACCACTGCATTGCCATAATTTCACTGCCACTCTGGGAGGGAAGTAACAATCAGGGTTAGATTCCAGAAAAACAGAAAGGCAGGCAACAGGAAAAAAAAAATCTGTAAGATGTTCGTTTACCATGCCCTGATGACCAAGAAGGTATACACTGGATGATACATGCTCCCATTTGCTAGCAAGGGAAAGAGAAAAAGCCCTTCATGGAGACCTGATGTAGAAAGCTTCCAAAAGCAAAATGCAAAAGTGCCAGTAGTTTAAGATACAAAGAGCAGTACTACCCTTAAAAATGATACCTTCTTTCCCAGCAGATCTGTTCCTGTGTGTATTTAGGGTGAAATCTCCTTGCTTTGCTCCAAAAATACATTTTTATTACTATTTAATTCTTTCAGCCCTGCAGAGTCAATACACTTATGGGACAGTGAGCGGGATTCTTTTTGTGTTCACTCAGGAAAGGAATTGTTAACTAAATTCCTACTGCAAAGCTAAATCTGCCATATTCTAGGCAGAATATGACCTACAAAATGTTTAAATTATTGATGATACATGAGCTATAAAGAACACATTTTGTCCTTAAGATTCCTGGGTGTGTTTACATAGTTAGCTGCTTATTTGTAAACTGAGTAAAATTTGCTTTGAAGCGCATAACAAAACAAAAAGAGAACACCACAATCCCATTTGTAGTCGTTTTTTCTAGCAGAACCACACCAAGTAACACTACCCTTTTTAAAACTCCTGTCTTAAAAACAAGTTGTTTGAAAATTTAGGCAGGACTTCAAGTCAGTTATAATCATCCCACACATGTACCTTGGAAGAAAAGGCTATAAATATTTACTACATTTCTATTTTTCTCAGAATGGTTTGATGAGTGCACAACTGTTTGTTATGTGATAAATAACATTGCTTGATGTTTCAAGACAGCTAATATTGACTGGCATGACTGAACTTTCCTTTTTCTGTATACAGTGATAAGGAGTAATAAGCCTTCATCGCCTCCTTCTACCATCACAGATGTTAGCTACTAGAAAAAAAGATTTATTAAACATTTACCAATAGGTAGCATTCGCTGTGTACCACAGGGTGAAATGAAAAGCAGCATAAAGAAATCTGTTTTGCAAGGATCTTCTGGAAAGGTGAGGGTTGGGCTTTATACTGGTCCCTGATGATGGCAAACTGGCAGGTTGTTTCTTGCATAGCTCTGGGCAAACCATTAATCTGTCAGCACAAACTTCTGTAGAAATTCCAACAATAAGACTGGAGGGTTTGGATAGACAGAAAACGCTGCTTTTGAAATACTTAACAAGACTAATAATGCTTTGCAGATTGTTGTATTCCACAGTCCCTGAAATTTCTGGTCAACAGTGCAAAGTAAGTGTTCAATTCATTCATCTTCTTCAACATAGGTTGATGGAAACCAGCCCACCTAAAGAAGGCAAAAGCAGAATAAAAATAATACATAAGATGCTAATGACACAGGACAATTCTTTTACAGGCCTGCCTAGGCAAAAACTGTCATGGTTCTGTTTAGTAAACAAGGGGACACAAAATTATAAAGATAAACTTGATTGTGCCACCACAGCACTTAGTTAGAGTAACGCCTCTCAACCAAGTGATGCAAATTATTGATCCCATGATTTGGAGATTGCAGCACTGGACATTAAAACCTTTTTTTGGAAGATCAGAACTAAACCACTAGCTGTGACTGTGCCCCAAAGCACTAAAACATGGAAGAAGAAGAGTAAGAGCAGAAACAAGGAGTTTTACTAGAGCCAGGCAGCTGCTATTTCCCCATTTTGGAGGTGACGGACATCTAAGTATTCTTCAAAGCTACCAACAGGCTCGCAAGTCCCCATTACCATTATTCACATAAATTAAATAGGAACTGATTTTGTTGTGCTTACGTGCACTCAAGTCTCAATGTAGTCAGGAGTCGTTTTAAATGAGAAAGAATTGCAGGGCAGAGCCCGAAATTTTTCATTTATACTGCATTGTTACAAGTTATTGTATTGCTCATGAAAGAAACCACACCTATTAACTTTGGAGAGTGAAGTCCTATATCTATAACAGAGTGCAACACTTCATGCTGCCCTGCCAATGTACCCTGTTCTGGATGAACTATCTCTAGAGAAAGAAGAGAACTCAAGTCCAAAAGCCCATCTTGCTGAGACTGTCAAACAGAATGCCCATTCCTAATGTTTTTCTTTAGTATGCGCCTGTCTGTCCATTAACACCTGGAACGAGATCATCAATTTATTTCACACAGGGTCATAAAAAATAGTTTAGGTTTCTATATTGCTTCCAGTCTATATGATTATTTCTTTTTTAAAATGTGATTCTCTCATGCTCTAGCACATGTACAAAATAAAAACCCCTTCAAATAATGTAAAACACAAAACCCCAGACTTCTCCCCATCCTATTGCACAGGACTTTCACTCGCAACCACCATCCCAACCCACATCCACCCTCCCTTACCCAAAGCTGGAGAAACAGGCCCTTTACAGCAGGCCCTGGCGCTGCCACTAATCTCTTCCCACTTAAACCAGGACTTTCAGTGCCTCAATTTATCTCCACTGCGGAGGTATTACATGAGCAGGGTGGTAGCACCTAACGTAGCGATGGAAACCATTTAGGGCTTCTATGACAAAACTAGCACTTGGAATTGTACCTGGGAACTACCAGCAACCTGCACAAATCTCCAAGCACAGATGTAACATGCTCCCTGTAAAAATCACTGCTACATAAGCCTCTTGCCACATTTTGTACTAGCTGAAGTTTCTGAGTGCCCTTCAGGTGTAGCCTCCTATAAATCCTGTTGCAGCAATCCAGTCTTATGCTGACAAAGGTATAGAAGGCAGTGGTGAAATGCACATCCAAAAGGAAAGATCATAAAATGCACTCCTGGCCTTTGCTGCTAGCTGGACACCAAGAAGCAACCAGGGATCCAACAAGACCCTGATGTTCTGCTGCTAAGGGTTATAACCTCTGCTATTTCCCCCACCAAACAGTCTTATCCCCGCTGGACATCAGCCAGTTAGTGCTCATCCACGACCCTAGTTCATTTAGACTCTGGGAAAGTTGATCAAGCATACTGTCTGGATCATCTGAAACAGAGCTGATGATGTGTCAGATATGCTGTGAGAGAAAATATGTGAAACAGGTTTATGATGTCTGAAGACTCCATTTAAAAGCCTTATCAGTGAGATAAGTATAAAATGATACCAAATAAAAGAAAAACCTACCCTTCCATTTACTTCACCTCTCCACCAGCCATTGGCACTCATCTTTGTGTAAATTTTCACCACATCACCTTTCAGTAAGGACAGTTCTCTCATGTCTCTTGCACAGAAGTCATACCGGGCAATGGCTATGCCTATTGCTTTTGGACTTAGCACTGAAATTGAACACAAGAAATCAATGTTGTTATGATCTGTTAATCGCAGACTAATCAATTAAGTCAATACTGTAAAATGTATAGCAATGATTCCATTACAAAATAAATTGGCAACAATTTTATGTAAATGTGAAAGTAACCACCCAAAGAGATCAAGAAGCCTTCTTTAAAGGTTAATTCAACACAAGGTTGGAGGATTTTATGTGCAGAGGACAGGGAGGGAAATAGAAAAAACATTACATAAGCCTGAATGTAAATGCCACTAAGGCAAAATTTTTCTCAAGGATTCAAAAATACTGTAAAATTTATTACACTTTTGTAGTTTATAATAAAACTTGCTGCAAAGTACTTACATCAACATATTTTTCAGGTCACTAGTTTGTTTCCAAATAGATTATTAGCATTTATTGTTGATTTAACTTTAAACCCCTAATGAGGCAAAATACATAGATTATGGTGCTATTCCTTCAGAGAAGCAATCCAGGTTAAATACTATCCATATAAGTCTGTAGACTAACTCCTTCCAACTAACAGCAAAAAGGAAATGCATTTCTACAGTTTGGGCAAGTCTAAGCCAGCCCTGGTGACTCAATTAAAATGCGGTCGTGACCCACTTTGGAGTCCTGATCCACAGTTTGAGAACCGCTGCTGTAGACCAACAGCAAAAAAGAAATACATTTCTACAGTTTGAGTTATCTGTTGTATGGCCACTGGATCATGTAAAGCACCATTTTTCTCGAGAGTACACTGAAAATCAAACATCAAAAATGATCAGTTGAACCTGGCTCACAAAATTTCACCACAAAGCAAAATGCCCTGATCCAGCAAAGAACTTAAGTATTAGCATAAGTCTAAGCATGTGAGAGGTCCCAACAAAATCAACTCTTAAAGGTTTACAGTGATGCACCGACTTAAAATACCTTGCTGAACTGGGGCCTAAATCTTTTAAACAGATATAAAAATTACTTCAAACATTTCTGAATGATACAAGTGCAAAAGCTGCATGTCTCTAATATGTACAATTCAAAAATGGCTTTAATTGTAGCAAACTAATAATCTTTTTATGAAGTCTTATAGAATCCAATCATGTAAGCTGCTGTGGACTGTCATTTCTCATTGGGAGGTAAAAGTTCTCAGCACCTTGCAGGGTGAGACCTATAATTAGGTATAATAGAAAAAATATACACTGGCTAATACATTAGATTCAGAGGTTAGACCAGCAATTGGCAAAGGTGGAAGCCTACGGTATGCAAAAAGGCATCCAAACAGTGTTTTTCAATAGAGGCAATCTCCCTTTACAACTGGTTCAATGAGTAAACAGCTGCTGTAGACAGAAATGGACTACCATTAGTTCTGACTAGCACCTTACATAGGGAGCTAGGGAGATGGACACACTAAAATCCCTATTGAAAAAATCCTGGGTGTATTTGGAGTATGGCCAACAACAGTGAGTTGGAGGCATCATCAAAACCATTCTCTTTGTCATAATTCAGAGAACAAGAGAGCAAGCACACTGTTACTAGAGTTTCCCAAAGAGTTTTAGGAATTGCTACTAACATTCTAGTTTTGAAAACGTAATCGAAATTTAACAGTAAAGAATCAGAGCAAGCTGCCTTCTTTGATTTAAAATCAGGGAAATACGAAACATGGCATATAAACTAGAAAATCTAAACAGCTAGGACAAAATCAACCACTTAAGTGATAGCCTTGCTGCATATACTTTTATTTGATATTTATTGTGACCTCATATGAACAGCAGCTTTTGCATAATAGATACCGTGCATTCAAATCATTAAAACTGGACACGCATCAACGATTAAAACTGAAATAGCTAAAGTTAAATCGTATGTCTGAAAATGAATTATGACCATATTTTCCCACATCATCATAGTGCACTACAATTTTACACTCAGCGTTCGTATTTAGCATATGCCTATAGGATATAAATACGCTCTACAGAAGAGAATCAGCAGATTTATATATTGTTCATGTGCACAATATGAAGATGCTGAAGAATATAGACAATCATGCACAGTATATTATCATAAAAAATACACGACTTACACTCTAGCAAGTCAAATACCATGACTATTTGCCTATTTACATCAATACTATGCCAAATACCGTACTGGGCAGCAAGAATCAGTGGTGATGGGGCAGGAACTGATTTTGGGGAGAAGGGGTGCAGCAGAGGCAGTAATTGACATTTTCGGGGGGAAGAGGGCACTAGCAGCACTTATTGATTTGGGGCTCAGTATCTTGGTGGGTGACAATAGCAGTAACTATTGGGGGAAGGGGATAATTGATTTGGAGGTTATAAGGACCAGTAAATGGTTGTGGGGAGGGGAAGCAGAGAGCCGCTCTGGACTCTAGAAAGAGGATAAGAGGTCAAGGGAACAAGGTACCTGGGGAAGATGTGGGGGAGGAACAAAAGGAAGTAGGTAAGAAAGAAGAAAACAAGGGGAACTGAGCGAGGAAAAGAACTAAGGAGAGGAGAAATGCAGGGAATAGTGGGCAGTAAAATATTGGGGGAAATGGGAGGGAAAGGGGGCAGAATCGGAGTAAAGGAGGGGAATATTTCAAACCCCTTTCAAAGTGAGGAGCACGGGGAAAGTGAGAAAGAAGTAAGAGGAGAAGGAAAGAATCTGGAGATAGGGGAGAGAGGATCAGAGAAACAAGAAAAGAAAGAATTGAAACAAGCAGCAGGGGAGATTTTAAAGAAGGAGGCGGCTATGTCTACAGTGCAATTAAAAACTTGCAGCTGTCCCATACCAGCTGACTCAGACTCGCTGGGTTCGGGCTAAGGAGCTGTTTAGTTGCAGTGTAGACGTTGGGCTCAGGCTGGAGCCCGAGCTCTAGGACCCTGCAAGTTAGGAGGGTCCCAGAGCCTGCACTCCAGCCTGAGCTTGAATGTCTACAGCACAATTTTACAGCCTCGCAAGCTCTAGTCAGCTGACACAAGTCAGCCACGGGTATTTAGTTGCACTATAGACATACCCTGAGAGGACTCACTAATGCTTGTAGCCCCAGAGAACTAGACACTTTGGTCTGTGTCAGATTTCTGCCTTGCTTCTATTCGGGTCAATTTCTCATTAATGTAACCTGTAACCAGTTTGATCTCACACTATGTATTTCTCTTAACTTGTGGCTTTATCCCCAGAAGAGTCATTTTTGGCTAGTGGGTTCTGTGCATCTTGAAGCAATGTGCGTTTGCTTAATTTTACAAAACTGTACATCAGTTCTTGCCAGTTTGCAAGCATGGAGAGGAATTTCAAAAAAGTGCTCACAAATTGCTGGCTTAATTCTTCTCCCACTGGCATCAATGAAAATTTTACCACTGACTTCCAGTGGGAGCAGAGATAAGCCAACATTGAAGGTGCTTTTGGAAACCCCACCCATAATATTTAGTGATCATATTTTCCATTTATATTATCATTTAGTTGTGAATTTAATGAAGACTCTTTTGGTGTCTTAAAAAGAGATGATTTTATAAAGAACGCAAAAAGTCAAGCACAGTATCTGCCAGAATATGAAATGCCATCCAAGCAGACATGATTAAATTACCTGTCACTACCTGACACCCCTTTACTGTTGTGTAATTGTTACAAAGACATGCTTTACATCAGATATTGTCAGGATTTCTTTTTGTGAAGGAGACAGAGTGCAGTTAATTCTTACTAATTACCAACATAAAGGGCTCTGTTGGGACTAGTGCTATGCACAAGGGTAGAAGAGGGTGCCAGGGGCCAACCTCAATTCCAAAACCTTGTGCTAGCTAGGCCAGATAATCCACCCTCTATAAGTGGAAGTGAACCAGCATAAGGAGAACAAATGCTGCACTCTTTTAGAGGGTGTAGCAGTTGCTGTTGTGTATGTGCCTTCAGGGTTCTCAGAGACTTTTTGCCTGCCACAGGCAAAATTACTGGGGCTACTGCCAAAGTGGTGCAGCCCCACCATAACTGTGGCTTAAAAGTCACAACAGCATCCTTACTTACTGGTGTTTATTAATGGAGTGCAAGTTTGCCATAATGTGATTGGAATTGAAATTAGCATGGCTGTAAATTTCAATCTTTTTATACTGTCTGTTAGTTCAAAATGTTTTTATATTTTCAAAGCAAGAGAAGGTTAAAAGAGAATAAAGAAAACGTGATTACATTTGAAAAGCAGATGAGTAAAATTAACTGAAACAATGGTAGTGCAAAATCTAACATTTGCTACAACAGAACTCTCTAGCAACGGCATTTTACGATGCTGCCACAGTATGGTTTGCTATAGAGATGGGACGAATACTTGATTCATTCATGAACAGTGCAATTTTCAGGTATGCATATTTGTATGAATACATCAATTAAAAATATAATACTTGCTGTAGAATTCTACTATTGAATGGTGAACTAGTGGCCATTTGAGATCTGCTGCGGCTATTCAAATTCTGCTTATAGGAATGTATACTTTTAAAAGTTGATTTTGCAAGAGTTTGATTTTATTGGACTGCAAGAATAAAAATTTTCTACCCTCCGATTACCTTGTCTTTATAGCTTATCATGTTAACCAGTTACTGAGATTTGGAGTCAGTCTTCAGTATATAGCATTAGCTGCTATTCTGCATTTAGTCAAGAAATGAAAAAGTAGATTCGTCCCTTCCCTAGTTGGCTGCACACAGAAAGAATCTGCAAACAGAAGCAAATTTAGAAGAAATATAAAAGCAGTAAGCAGTACCTGACCAGAAAGGAGTGGAGGAAGGGGGAACAAAGCTGTAGTCTGGAGGAGTTACAAAAGAAAACCCACAGAACAAAGAGGGGGCTTAGAGAAAGAAAGAGAAAAAGAGAGAAGCAAAAGAACGTTGAAATATCGGCAAAATATTTAAATATTAGTATTTCTATTATGTAAGTCATTGGTAATAAGGAAACTACGGTTCCTCACTGAGGAAGTCTGGAAGGAAATTGACTGTGAAAAGTGGAAAATGTAGATCTATGATTTAATTTTTCACAATTACATTTTTCAAAAACAAAAAATTTAAAAAAAATCCATTTTGGGTTTGGCAGAAAAGAATTTTAAACTGTTTTTTCTTACAAATAAAGCTGTTTCTTTTCTTAATACATTTTAAAATCCTTTTGGCCCTGACTCAACCAAGTTCTTAAACATGTGTCTAAATTCAAGTACATAAGTAGTGCCATTGGTATCCCCAGGACTAGTCCCATGCTTAACTTAGGCCTGTTCTTAAGTACAGTAACTCCTCACTTAAAGTCATCCCAGTTAACGTTGTTACGCTGCTAATCAATTAGAGAACATGCTCCTTTAAAGTTGCGCAATGCTCCCTTATAACATTGTTTGGCAGCCGCCTGCTCTGTCCACTGCTTGCAGGAAGAGCAGCCCGTTGCAGCTGGCTGGTGGGGGCTTGGAACCAGGGTGGACCAGCAGCCCCTCTATCAGCTCCATGCAGCTCACTGTGTGGCAGCTGCCCATCAATTGCGGGCAGTTCAGCTGTCCCTCCCCCCACTGCCATGTGCTGCTCCTGCCCTCTGCCTTGGAGCTGCTTCCCGGGAGCCTCCTGCTTGCTGTGCGGGGGTGGGGCGGGGGGGAGAGGAGGAAAGGAAAAGAAGGGGGCTAATGTCAGGGTGTGCCCTTCCCCCTGCTCCTGTCCCCCGCTTACCCCATCTCAATAGAGCGGGGTGGGACGGGACACGACAGGGCTCAGGACCGAGGAGCTTGCTGGCAGCAGCGGCTGTCTCAACTTGCTGATCTACTTAAAAAGGAAATGTACTTAGAGTGGGGTCACCGTAATTGAAGTGGCAATGCGCATCTCTCTCTCTCACACACACAGGGTGTCTCTCTCTCTCTGCCATGCTGTCTCCCCTCCCTCCATTTGTGCTGTCTTGTAGAGTGTGAGGCTACATTAACAACGTGTTAACCCTTGAGGGTTCAGCAGTGAGTGCTAGTTCATCATTTAGCAGTAAGGCATTCCCTGGGAAATATCCCACCCTCTGACTCCACCACCTCAACCAAGCTTCACAATCATCATTGTTGTGTATAGTATTAACTTGTTTGTTTAAAACTTATACTGTGTGTGTGTGTGTGTGTATATATATATATATATATATATATATATATATATATATATAAAATAAAATATAGTCTTTTATCTGGTGAAAAAAATTTCCCTGGAACCTAACCCCCCAATTTACATTAATTCTTATGGGGAAATTGGATTCGCTTAACAACATTTTGCTTAAAGTCGCATTTTTCAGGAACATAACTACAGTGTTAAGCGAGGAGTGACTGTACCTTGTTAAACTGGACCTCACACCATGCATGTAGGGATCACAGCATTCTACTCTGATAACTATTAACATCAACGGGAATTACGTGCACGTTTCATATCCTCTAAGGACTAAATGATGCTTTGGATCCATATATACTACACACATTCAGTTCAATGGAAGTTCTGAGCACACACAAAATGCAGAATTTGGCTCAGGTACTTAAACTTGTGCAGCCACTATGCTAGCCCCCTCTTTGATAGATAAATGTAATGTATTCTCAGGTAAACAAAGGGTTAAAAACACACTAATTAAATCTCCAAAATATTTATAGTAATCAGGTTGCTGGTCACCCAATTGCTCTCCTTTGGGTGATAGTATGTTTTCTACCCACAAAAGAGTATGTGCCCATTTTTGTGGGTGCAACATTGTGCATGCAGAAGCAGTCTGAAATGAAAATTGGGACCAAAGAACATGCCGTGGCACCAAAACCCATCTTTGTTTACATTCCTCTTAAGAAAAAAGTAAATTACATCTAGATGTCTTGACATATTTGATAGCTGATGAGGTATCCTCATGCCTACTGAAAGTGTGCAATGAACATCTAAAAAGAGTACACAAGTCCTGGGATGCTGGGAGATTAAAAAGAACAACTGGACAATTTTCTGAAGTAAGTGAAAAGTCAACTTAATTTTAGGTACAAAATGATAATTCAGGTCTAACAAGTAAGTATTGAGAGAACTGTGACACAAGTAGGCCAGCTTTCAAATCACCCTTTGTCTGACATTCTAAGAAATAATATGGAAATTGTATTGCAAGTCATATAAAAAAATTACAGGAAAACCTAGCAGCCATTTAATATTCAAAGGGGAAATAAATAAAACCATTAAAACCATTTTTCCTATCATCTTAGACAATTAGGTGATTTGAAGCTGCCTTTGGATTTCATATTAGCTCAAAACACTTGGCATTAGTACTTGATGGACTTTTGCAGTGTCCGCAGTAGAGCTTCCTAAATTTCTAAAAAATGCTCCAACACAGAAATGCCTCTCTCTGCTTATGTTGTGAAGTTTTTCCCAATGTATACCAAATTCTATGAAGGTATCAAAGGACAAAAAAAATGAGAATTGCATCATTAGGGAAGATGTATTTATTACCAAAAAAAAAAATCCGAACAGGTATTCATAAAAGCAGAGCAGTGAAAAATGTCCATCTCAAACCTCCAGTCAATCTCAGATTGAAGTTGGAAGCTTGACATATTTAATTGCCGCAGCCTGTACTTGTGAAAATCTGGTGACCATGGGCTCAGTTAATGCACCCAGCTGGAAAACTGGCAAATCTCCTTCCCCTCAGTTTGTCATTCAGGGTCCCTCTCAACAGCTATCCCTTCTTATATGAGATGCCTTCAAAGGAGAGCAGGAGGTGGTCAGAGAGGAACTGACTGAGTGAAGATTGTCCAACAAATCTCCAGCAGCTGGTTTGCTTCCAAGTTGTAACCCTTGCTAACAAAATTCCAAGATACAAATTCTCTAACTGCTTTGCAGATCAAAATTGCAGGGTTCAGATACCCTAACTATGAGGGTATTCTAATGCCAACTTGGTGAAAACTAACAGGGCAGCTGTAAAACTAAAAAGCATGAGCTGCAGATGATCTGCCAACAATATTTGAGAGGGGCAGAGAAACCCTTTTCCTCTGGTGGCCTTGTAATCAAGCAGTGGATCACCCGAGAAAGGGACTTGAAGCAGCTCCTAGTGATCACCTAATAAAGGGGACTGCAACTTCATAAAAAGGGCTCGATTCAGTAGAAAGGGAGAGAGCGACAGACAAGGCTGTGCAGGGGAGAACAGGGTGAGGAAAATACTGGACCCCTGAAAAGTCACTGACCAAATCCCAAAGGACTGTGGGAGTAGTGAGGAAAGTGAGGTAGGGTTTTGTGTGCAGGTTTTGTTGTTTTTCCATCAACTGTACCAGTTGTGCTGTCTAAGAATAAGGTATGTTCATTTAGAAATTCCTTTGCAGAGTCCGTGTGTTACTTGCTTACACTGTCACAAAGTCCCCAAAAAGGGAAACAGTAAATCAGCTTCAGTGGAACTCAGAGCACGCAACGGCTACTGGCGAGGCTTGGGACAGCTGGAGCTATTTTCAGGGCCTGCCAAGACGGGTATCAGACATGGTATCTGTACCTGGTGTGTGTGCCTAGAGGCCCAAAGTCAGAGACAATACCTAAATTCTGCTGAGCCTCAAGAGAACACCAGACTCATGATTTGGGTCCAGTACTAAAGTCTGGAGTGTCCAGAAGGAAAAGCTCATTCAGATTTATAAAAAACTTCAAATCCATTAACCAAAGTGTCATCCAGGGTCAAACAATCTGCATTTTGTTCTCAGAGTTGTGGCAAAATATTAGGTTTTACATGGGGAATCTGAGAATTGAGAGACTTTTCATCAATTTGGCCTCAGGGGGAAATTTTCCAGTTTCCACCAGCAAATATAGTGGGAAAATGTTCGAATTTCAACATAGCAGAAAGCCAAGCCTGCCAAACCTCTTAAGTGGAAAATGCCCCACATTCATTTCTTTTGTTCTTCCATATAATCACTTTTGAACTCCTGTAATGGAGATTTTTATTTCTGGAGTGGAGTGAAGGAAGTGGAATATGCACTATATAAAATCTTGTATCCTGCAGGAATTTGCAACAGTTGTGCTATTTCTCCTGTACGTTAGTACTCTTCTGTGTGATACAGATGCCTGCTTCCGTGCCTTCCTCCTATCAGCTGGTCTAAGTAAGAAGAGGCAGTGCTTTCTTTCTGCTCCTCTCGGAGAATAACTAAAATAAACACAAAGGTAAGGCAGGCAGGGTACACTCCTCATGCCAGTCAATGCCCTGGCACTCCATGCCAAGTAGGGGTGGGGAGAAAAGAGGACAGAGATTGAGAGGGATGGTGAAAGGAAGGGAGATAGGATAATGGGGGAAAAAGATCATTCTCTGTTCATCTCTTTTCAAATAACTAGGAATAGACGTGAAGTCCTGAGAAAACATGGGATACAACAGGAGGGAGAAAACTCAAAAAACTCATAGGGTTTGTCTACACTACATTAAAAAACACCTGTGGCTGGCCCATATCAGCTGACTCAGGCTCACGGGGCTATAAAATTGCACTGTAGATGTTTGGGCTTGGGGAATTGGGAGGGCCCCAGAACTCAGGTTGCAGCCCAAGCCTGAACGTCTACACTGAAATTTTACAGCCCCATAGCCTGAGCCCAAGTCAGCTGACCCAGGCCAGCCATGCGTGTTTAATTGCATTGTATACACCCAGGGGAAACAATGAAAAAACAAGAGAAGAAAGAAAAGAGGAAACAGAATGATAGAAAGAAACACAAAGAAAAAACAATGAAAATGGATGAAAAATAATCTGAAAATAATGTGTCCTAAAATTCACCTAATGTTCCTGTTTTACCAAATAAAAATAAGAAATTCTCTTGGAAATTATATATGCATGTCCATGGAGTATAGATAAACAAGTGAAAATCCAAGAAGAAAACTAATAAGTGAAAATGATGAAATAGTCAAAATTATTTCCACAAGACACTGGGCTTGACTGTATCTTCATTCACAGCAGTCTTCATATTGTTGAAGTCATCATTAATTTTTATTTTCTTCTTCTTATCTGGTGCAGTGCAAAGATAAGGCCATTGCCTGAAACGCAGTGAAGTCTAATATTCTTGCAGGGAAAAATTAAATATTTTCAACAGACCACATAACAGTTGTTTTAAATAGCACTGAACTTCTAAAAAGACAACAACGCTTTTATAGACTTTCCCTTAAAATGGAAAGTTACATGTTCGTAAGAACAATATTACACATATTGTAGCTATTTACTCCAAAAATACATATAGTCTTTTAACAGGTATTTATATGGTATGTATTTTGAAAATTCTTTTAGAAGTGTTTTACAGGCTTGCAAATTATGGCCTTAAAAGAGAGGTGTAAAAAAACAAATGAGATGATTCAACAAATGACATATTACTTGAAAAACTGTGTGTCTCTTTGCTGAAACCCTAATTTAAAAAAATGCAGTTATATTAGATGACTGATCTATTTAAATCTCAATACTACATTAGAAATGGTTACTTATTTATGCATGTAACTGAAAACAGTGCCGCCTATGTAAACACCTGCAAAAACTAGGCAGACTCCAAATTAAATCTCTCACTTGCATTTCTAATAGATTTTTGAACACCAACCTGATTTTAAGTTTGGCAGCAAGGAAGTCTCACTAGACATGTTCATAAACCTGTTGGCAGATCTGATTATGCTTAGCTGTAGAAAAATCCTAGTTGAACGCATTACCATATTAATTGGTTACATGTCAAAAATGCAAAATGAAGATGTTTTAAATATCATTACGCTTTTAGTGTTTAAATGACAGCAAATAATATGTAAAATGATAATACTCACAGTTACTGCTTGCTTTATTACTCCTTTGTCCATCTGAATTTTCAGATGCCTTGTATGGAACCTGAAGAGTAGTATCCAAACTTCGGAAACCTTCTTTGAGAGAGTGGTGCTTGTAGTACTCTACAAGTTCCTTTGAGGAAGAGAGAATAAACAATTATTGGAAATTTAATTTGCATTCTTTTCAACAGTAAGATATACAGTTAATGATAGTTTGCTTAGAGAGGTGATCTTATCATTAGACCTGAGCAAATAATTGATTTTTCAGTTCAGGGCCAAAAACAAAACAAAACAAAAAACACCCTGAAAATAAATGTATTTGGTTTCATCCAAGAAATGGAAAACCAAAAATATTTCACTTAGGTCAAACTGGCATTTTGTTTTCAAAATGTTGTTTTGACATTTTAAAAATCTTTTTTGCAGATGAAACTTTTTGCTGAATTTTACCTAGAGTCATGAACAGTTTCGGTGGCCTGAAAAATGCAGTTTTGGTGAGTTTATTAGTTGCTGAAAAACTTTCACCCAGCTCTATTTATAATGGATAACTGCCCAGTAAATATACATAAAGCCATGTTACCTAAAATACCTACTCCCTGCATAGATGAGCTCAGCACCTTATCTGTATCACTACCTTCTATTTAGTAAGTTGTACTAGAGTTAGTAACGCTTTATAGGACAAAAAAATCTTACTTCTCTATTTGAAAGGAGTATTTGCTCCTTTCAGTTAGGTTGATTAATTAATATTTGCCCTATGGAACAAAGGTAGAAGGGGAGGTCAGCTGCTTGCTAACTACTCACTGTACCTATCTTTACTTTCTCAGCTTTTTACTACAGTGATAAATAATGATCATCCACAAATCTTTTTCTGAAAACACAGACACCAGATAACAGTGCGAGCTTTATAATCAACAGGTGATTTCTTCTCAGGTATATGGACCATGTAAAGGTTTCAAGGTGATTTCATAAGATAACGTGCATTGTATCAGATGGCATCAGGAATAAACTCAAGAGTACACAGCGTTTCACATTCTCCATGGATCCAATCTGAGAATTTTCCATATATTTCATAAATGATTTGCCAAAATAGAATATGAAAGCAAAGGAGGTACAATACATGGAGGCCAGTGCATTCAGTTCTCATTGTAAATATGAAGGAACACCTCCAAACATTAAGAATTCATGATATTTCTATGCAGTATTCAACTCTAGTGTGCAACTCTTAAGGCTTGTCTACGTGGTGGGACAATGCGCACAACGGGTCTGTGATGTCTAAAGCACACTAACATACTGTGCATTAAGTAGTCCATGTAGACCCTATTGGTATGCATAAGATGTTCCTTACTGCACTTTAATGTATGTTTGTGAAAGTGCACTAGGGAACATTTAATGCACACCAGCAGGGTCTATGGAGACCAATAAATGAGCGACATGTTAGTGTGATTTAGAAATCATACCCCTGCGGTGCACGTTACTGCGTAGACAAGTCCTTAGATCAGTCTATGGATTGGGTCGACAGATTTATGTGAATAAGTTCAGCACAGAGTTTCTCTACAGAGTAAGGAATGAGGGTAAATGTTGAGTAGGAAAATCAAAGCAAACACACTTTAGTTAATTATTCTGTTCCTTCAAGCATAGCATTTCGTTTTTCAAAATCAAATACAGTAATTCATTTATTGTAAACACTTAACTCCCATCACCAATTCATTCAATAATCCCATTTTGTTCTGCCATGTTTAAGTTTCCAAAAACTAAATCAACCAGGCCAAGCTTCAGTCCAAATAAGGAAAAAGCAATAATTTCATTCTGATTTACAAACAAGCCCCCCCAAAACCAGCCTATGCTCTCCTACAAAAATCTAAAGTGGTCCATGCTATAAATTAATTCCAATGAACAAAATGACCCTTAAAATTATTCACCCAAGATCTAGTGCACTAAATGTAAGTTCATGAAAACAGTCTTAATGGTAAACTTCTGAACTGAATTTTGGAGCTCTTCAGTCCCATGTTGTACAGTGTTGTATGTCTCAGTAGCTATCTCAAAGGTAGAGTCTAAACCAAAAGTAAAATCCACACCTGCTTTTAGTAATTCACAATCACAGACCTCCAGGCACTACATGTAAACAGAAAAGCTAGGAACAAAAAGAAATATTTGGGCTTCTGTTATCTTACATTAACACAGCTGGCCATTACTCCAGCTAAGAATTTCTTTAGTATGTCAGCACTCCAGTATGTCCATTCTCTGGATATGCCCCCTTTGCTACAGACAAGGAGTGACCAAACTGTGGCTCACGAGCCGCATGTGGCTCTTTTACAGTTAAAGTGCACAACCTCCTCCATTCTCTACCTGTCAGACTTGGGTGGAGAGGGAAGGGAAGAGCTTGGGACCTCTGCCTTGCAATGGGGTGGTGGGGTAGGGGCTTCTACCCAATGGGGAGAGGGGCCTTGGGGTTTCAGCACTGTGGGGCATACCTGCTGGGTTTTGGCACTTCAGCCAGAGTGGGGCTGAAGCCCCGAGCCCTAGCAGGTCCTGCTGGGCCGAAGCCCCGAGCCCCGGCAGATGTGCCTTGGCTCTTGAACGTCTTAGCAGAGGGGGTGGAGGGGTCAGTAAGTTTGGCCATCCCTGCTATAGAGAGACACAACGCTGTTTATACAGTGTTGAGAGTGCCATGATAGATAAGACACAGCATTTATTCTATATACACCAGACATTATGAACAGGGTTAGACAGAGCTCGTCCCAACAGGGTTAGCCAACACAAAACTGACAATGCCAGAAACCACTTAGAGCAGGGGTCGGCAACCTGCGGCACGCGTGCCAAAGGTGGCACACAAGCTGATTTTTAGTGGCATTCTGCTGCCAGCTGGGGTCCCAGCCGCCAGCCCTGCTCAGCCCGCTGCCTGCCTGGATGAACGGAATCCCAGGCCAGCAGTAGGCTGAGCGCAGCTGGCAGCTGGGACCCGGGCTGGCAGGAGCCAGCAGATGGAACCCCAGCCCGCTGCCGGTCTGGGGTTCCGGCCGCCGGCCCCTTGCCAGCCAGGGTCCCAGCCGCCAGCCCCACTCAGCCCGCTGCCAGCTTGGATCGACGGAACCCCGGGCCGGCAGCGGGCTGGGCAGGGCTGGCAGCTGCGACCCCGGCTGGCAGGAGCCGGCGGATGGAACCCCGGACCAGCAGCAGGCTGAGCGACTCAGCGTGCTGCCTGGTCTGGGGTTCCGTCTGCCGGCCCCTGTAAATGTAAAATGTATTACTGGCACGCGAAACCTTAAATTACAGTAAATAAATGAAGACTTGGCACACCACTTCTCAAAGGTTGCTAACCCCTGACCTAGAGTCTTATCAACACTATTACTTACATGGCAAGAGTAGAACCAGTGGTAGCAACAATAAGAAAAACCTCTTTGGGTAGAGACAACCTGAGCACCAGACTGTGCTTAACAGGCACTAGCCTTCACGGATGGGTGACAGAAAAACAAAATTTCTCTACCAGGGTAGCATAGTCCCTGTTAGCGCAGCCCAGGAAACAGGCTGGACAATGTCCCCTGACAGCTAAGGCTTCTTAGATGTGCGGGGGTCATTGTCCAGCCTATGTCCTATCCTTTTTGGGGTGGTTAGCATGAAGAGGAATACTACCAGGGAGTAATCTCTGCTCTCAGGAGAATGCAGAGACTTCACTAGTTGCTGACCAGGTACAGGTTTCTTCCTCTCTCAAGCACGTCACTGCAGGGGCCCCAAGCTGGCTCTAACTTTACATATAAATATTTTTAAGCATACACCATCTTCATTGACATCTAAGACTGAACATCACAAATATATAAAGCAATGATGGACATGATTCTAACCTGAAAGTACTTCTGCATACCACATTTCTGCAAATCTAGAGAACCAGCATTTACTTTAACAGCAATAGTTACATGGGAATTGCACACTGAAGAAACCTAATCAATACTTACCATTAAACTTTTAAATTTTTTATTTTCTGCAATGTGAAAAAAGCCATCTCTTGTTAAAATCTTGATGTGTTTCACTTCGTTATTATACCTGTGGGCAATTAATAACTTATGAATATAAATGTGTTTTTAAACAGTGGCAATCAATAATTACCTGAGGGTATACCCCAAAACACTACATGAATAAATTCTTAAGACAAAATGTATATCCAGGCCAATACACAGTTGACATCTAATTAACCAAATATATTTATTAGTGTATGAATGAAGATGTAGCCTGTATTCAGAAAAAAAAGTTACTTCTAATTAGGGGGTCCCATCTATTGCTTGCTTTCAAGTTCATACTGAGGATCGATGTGGAAACAAACAAGACTCTCTTTAGTAATTTATGCTGATAGAACACACTCTACTGAAATGTATTTGCTAACACACTCTTTACTGCAATGTCCGAGAAGCTAAAGACTTGAACAGACTCACCTTAACATCAACAGGAGCTGAATCAGAAGTAAACAATTGCCCGTTAGTATCCGACAGGCCACTGTAAACTGGTATCTTTCCATTAACTTCAGTGGAGCTATGCGGATTTACACTTTTTGTCCTATATGCCTGAAATACTTTTCTAGCAACTGATATTTTTATGTACTAAGTGACAGGATATTATATGATTATTTAAGATGCAATGAGATTCATGATTTTCTGTATTATTGATTACAAACATCTGCCTATGCAATAAAGAAAACAGGAAGTCTATTTCTGTTAAAGTGCTTGTCCCACTTACTTAATGCTAATTGCGTATTCTCCTGACTCTTTGGTCCTGTGTCGCACCAGGTAAGTTCTATTTACCCTGTTAATAAGTTCACTTTCAGCTTGCAGCCTCTCCATTGCTCCTGCATACCTGTAAGAAAAGCAAATAAATACTAGCCATGCTCATCTTTGAAACTGTGCAGTAGGTCTTTCCAACATGCAGTTTAATGTTCCAATATTTTACATGAGATGGTGAATGAAAGATACATCAAAAGCTCCTGGTACATGAACCGGATTTCAAGGTTGTGCTGGAAAATAATAAAAAGCACAGAAATTTATAATTAATAGTAAAATGTGCAGTACACTCTCCCACTTTTGGGCACAAAGGACTATGGCTTCTATTCAGAAAAGCACTGAAGCACAAGATTAAGTTCATCCCTGTTTAGGAAAGCACTTATGCATGTGTTAACTTTTAGGCTAGGTCTACACTATGGACCTTACAGCAGCACAGCTGTACCACTGCAGGTGTGCCACTTTAAGGTCTCCCATGTAGCCGCTCTTTGCCAGCAGGAGAGAGCTCTCCTGCTGGCATAATTAAACCACCCCCAATGAGCGGCATTAGCTATGTTGGCACCAGCAATGTCGGTCAGGGGTGTGTTTTACCGTCAAAAGTGGTAGTGTACTGTAGACAAAACCTTAAACACCCCACTGACTTCGAAAGCACTTAAGCACATACTGAAGTACTTTGCTGAACTGGGGCCTATACTGAAAATGTAATTAAAGGGTGGCCTGGATCAGGTGGTGGAATTTACTTATTTGAAATATTTTGTATCACAAACTTAAAAGCTTGGGCCTGATACAACACTATATTATACCAGTCTCGTACTAGTGAAACTTCACTGACTTCAGGTCAAGTTGGTATAACAGACTGGAGAATCAGGCAGCTGATGCACTAATTCTGTTCTTAAACAAACAAAAATAATTTCATTTGATTCATATTTATTTATTTTACTCTAAAGGTTAAAATTTAAATGTGCAGACTAAACCCTAACAGATTAGATTCAAAATCTACTTCAGCCCTAAACTATGGCCAGGTCTGAAACGACTGAGACAAAAGATTCCAGAAGGGTCTGCCTGCAGAGATCTGCTTGCAGAATTGGGGCCTAAATTTTTAACTGTGGAAAAAATGTGCATTTATTAAAATGAAATAATTGCTTATTTTTACTTTTTAAAACCAGAATAATTTCAGTCAATATTAGGAACCAGTACTGTGCACAATTTTTTAAAATGAATACATTTTACGTTAGCTATAAATCCATTCATATAACTATAATACAGTAAGTTTCTTAATCCAGTTGTATATATAGTTACACTACTTAATCCATCATTAAACAAAACTTTAAATATCACAAAAAACTTCAAACTTCTACTTTGGGGCGGCTTTTAGTTTTTAAAGAAAGTATCAGAGAGGATTTTCTTCAAATTATCACAAAATATGAGCTCCCACGCTGAGACTTTTTAAGGCAAGTTTCAGCCTAAGGCAATTTCCCACGTTCAAGTTACAAATGCTTAGAAAATTAAGTTTGATCCTGAAAAGGCACAAAGAACCTCAACTTTAGTATTGTGAACACAATGCTATTTTTGTCCTCTCTTCTGTCAAAACTATAAGGAGCAGAATTGAAGCTTGAATCAAATTAAAAACAGCAACTTTTCCCCTTTGGGATTTTATTCACTGGCTATGAAAGCTCAGTGTTTGTTTGGGTCAGTGGATCTGATTCTGATCTCACTTACTGCAACCCAGTAGAAATCAGGAATAAATTTGTAAAACCAGTGTGAAAACAGAATCAGTCACTGTGCATTTATAATCTTTTTAAGTCAAACTCACTCCAGAGCAGAGGGTTCACACTACACTATGATTCACTTTGACAGTGGTTGTGGAGTCGATACATTATCCATTTACATCACTTAATAGATTGCTTTTCTGTCAAACAAAATTTCAGCAGAATTATTCACAAAACAAAATGTCACTTTCTTCATTTTGTTTAGCCACTTAAAATGTAGGATCTTCTTGCATGATTCATGTTGTACTGACTTTTTGTTATACCACTTTAGAGACCTCTGGGATACAGACTGTGTATATATATAGCCTTGTAAACAAAATGTCAAAATCATTAAGCACATTATTATATGAGAAATGCTTTTAGGCAGTGCATATTCAGTTCTGTTTTCCAAAACTGCTACACAATACCTTCTTCAGAAGCCAAGAAAGGTTAAAGCAATTTAAATTAGATTGTGATAAACACAGTTCTCTCTCTATGCCTGTCTATTTCAACATGATTTTTATAGGACTAGTCCAGGACTCACCATGGTTGGCAAGAGTAGTCTACTGGTTTAGGCACCTAGGGTATAAAAAGACATCATAGAATATAATTATTTAAAGAATATTTTTCGAATTGACTCGCAAATTAGGTAGCACTGATCTAATGACCAAATATCCTACATCACACTGGGGAGATAAGAATCATATTGATTACATTTCTTCATCTATTAGTCTACTTTATTCAGAATAAATTAATAAAGTGTGAATACCCTGTATAGGTCTGAAAACAGGACAGAATATTAAGCTTATGTATTTTATTGTTGTTGTTGGGAGAGTTTTTTTTAATTTTCGACAGATAAGTGCTACAAATCCCATATATATTTTAATCTATCTGAAATGGATTTTGGCAGTACTTCCACTCTCATTTCATCCATAAAATGTTCATCTAATAGGGTATATTGTTGCAATGCATCATTAAAGTGTGCAACTGAATGTACAATGATGCACACTAAATTCACTAAGTGCTTTTTGAATTAGATTGCCTTGAAAAGGCACTATTCTTAGTTGAAGTAAAAGCTTAGGTGGTATGTTATATAATCTCTTGAGATGTTAACTGAATAATCCATACATTTCTGAGGTATTGTATGAATTTATTAATACATTTGAATGAAACAAGTTTTACTCTTATACTTGGATTTAAATAGGAACACATTTTGAAAGGACAACTGCTTTATTTAATTTTCAAATAGTTTAAAATAAACTAAAATTAAACATACAAAAAAGGATAGTATATATATGCATATATAATATGGGAATTGAATGAATATTTCCACAGCTGACTTCCATGCTCCCCACCAACAGTTACTAAAATCCCTGAGACCCTCTTGGAGGGCACAAGTTTGGCTAGCTTGAACTTACTAACCTGCATAGTGTTGATTTGCTTCCAACCCTTGTGATCCAAACTGTAAGGTTCAGGTTCTGAGCTGACCTTTGCAGAGTTCACAGAGCCCGGCTTACTGCCCTTCGCATATTGTGTGATTGCAATTTTTCCTCCTAAGTGTTTTTGCAAAAGGTATTTTGGACAGATAACCAGCCTAGTACTCTTATTTGAATGCATCTGAATCTATGATTTTAATGCTGACAATCTCTCTTACATCATCACCAAAAAGTGTATTTTCCCCAAAGCACAAAGGAGCCACTAGTGTGAATTTGTTGTCAATATGTTAAAGAGTTCTGCTCTAAGAATAGTGTGACCTATTTATTTGCATGATAATAAATCTCCCAACCAGGAAGCAATCAGACTAGACAGAGAGATTGGGGGAGAGAGGGAAAGAGTTAACCAGAACAATGGAAGGCTTCTGTAAAATGCAAAGAGATCAGGAATGGAATTATTGCTAGCCAAATGTCAGTATATGTTGTAAGAGAACAAGGAGGAGAGTGGCTGTGAATCTATAATGGATTCCAAAGCCATGACAGCCTAAACAAATTCAAAAAGTATACTGTCCATTTGTAACACCGTAGCATCAAAGCTTAGATACAACAGACCTGGGCTGGGATTTAGTTGGTGACACATTCTCTCATATCCCTACACGAACATCTGACAAGTATTAGGAAAATAAAGCAGCATTATATCAGAACGAAACCAGCTAGGCCGTTGCTACCAACGGCTTGTTGATAGAGCTCAGGCATCATTCCCACCTGGCTGAGAGACGGTCTAAACATTAAAAATGCTGACAGCTAGCACTCCTACTTTCCTATCATTAGTGAAGCTGCTCCACTCAAAAAATGTAAGGATAAAAACCCACTGTATATAAAGCCAGTCTTTATATGTAAGATACTTCTGTAATTATGTTAGCCTACAGAATTTTACATTTTGAATGTTTTGTATTGTTAGAATAAAGTTTGGAAAGTAGTTCAAATTACTTGATGTGAGTATACCAGTGGCAGGACAGTAGTGGCAATTAGGAAGACCACTACCCTCCCTGTATATTGGCTTACAGTCCTATATTGGATGGAATCTGAAATTCTAAATTGGTTTGGCTCATCTATCAGAGCAGGTCATTTTTGGTTGCAGACAGCTAGAACATCAGCAATCATTAATCCTTTTCAACCCTGAGTGTGTTGAGTTGTAAAATAAAGATTGCCCATTGCAGAGAAAAAAGAAAACAATCAAACATTGTACTAGAAGCTGTTGGCTTGCACTGTATTATACATCCAAATCAAAGCAACCGCAATGAGAAAACTGAACAAAAGACATCTGTAATTTTCACTCCATGCATCTGAAGAAGTGGTATTTTACCCACGAAAGCTTATGCCCAAATAAATCTGTTAGTCTTTAAGATGCCACCGGACTCCTTTTTGTTTTTATGATATAAAAATGTCTGCAGACAAATACTGCATATTGCAAGAAGAATAAAGCATTTATAGGTATAGCTTAGAAGGGACTGGAATTTCATATTCTCGAACTCAGCAGTTTTTCATGCAATATTCATTCCTAAAGCCTTTTGATATATGTATTTTATGCTGATTCTGGGCATTTTTATATTGGCCAGTTGTAAAGATGGTTACACTTAATAATAATAGTACAAGTTATAATACGTTAAAAATCTGATAGATGTTTTGGTATCTTTAAACTGCATCATTTGTCAGAATAAGATGTTTATATTTTGCCCTTCCAGTTTAGCAGTGGTGGAGAATCAATTCATCTTTTTCATCAGTTTATGCCTCTGGTTGCTAACATGTCATGAATAATATTTATTCATACTGTAAAATCATGCTATTTTCATTCAATCCTCCGCTTAATAGTATATTTCTAAATTTAGCAGAAAGCTATGTCACTAGACACTATGTAATCTTCATGTTGCCTTGGTAGCTTTAACAGAAGAGTTTTTCCTTAACTATGTGAGTTTCCCACTTTAAACTACAGTAGTACTCTTTCAAAATGAGCTGATTTTTCCCAATAAATAAATATGGTCTCTAAGGTGCCACAAGTACTCCTTTTCTTTTTACAGTATTTACAGTAGACCCCTGTATTTATCTTAAGTGCTGCCCTAGAGTGGTGTTTCCAGATCCACAGGGCAGCTCCAGTGACTGAAAATTGCTAAAGGCATGTGCTGACTGTGCCCAACAACATCCAGCGTGACTGTGTGACACTAATGCTTAATAAAATATGGTAATTGGGTTACAAAAAACGTTAAGCTTTATTACATAACATTTTTATGAGCAGTATATTCTCTTTAACGGGCATCTGCTTTGTCACTCTGTTTAACAGAACTAAGGCTATGTCTACACTGGCATCTGAACGACAAAACCTGATAAACAGTGGCTACGCTTTTCAGAGTAGCAGCCGTGTTAGTCTGTATCCGCAAAAAGAAAAGGAGGACTTGTGGCATTTGTTAGTCTCTAAGGTGCCACAAGTCCTCCTTTTCTTTTAGTGGCTACACTGCGCGCCTTTTAGCAGCACAGCTGTAGTGACACAGCTTGTCGCTAAGAGCTGCATAGTGTAGACATAGCCTTAAATTTAAAGTAACAATGGAATGATAAGTATCTTTGTGAATAGGATTGTGAGATGATAATTAGGGCTGTCAAGCGATTAAAAAAATGAATCGCGCGATTAATCGCACTGTTAAACAATCATGGAATATTATTTAAATATTTTTGGGTGTGTTCTACATTTTCAAATATATTGATTTCAATTACAACACAGAATACAAAGTGTACAGTGCTCGTTTTATTTTTTTATTACAAATATTTGCACTGTAAAAAACAAAAGAAATAATATATTTCAATTCACCTAATACAAGTACTGCAGCGCAATCTCTTTATAATGGAAGTTGAACTTACAAATGTAGAATTATGTACAAAAAATAACTGCATTCAAAAATAAAACAATGTAAAACTTTAGAACCTACAAGTCCACTCAGTGCTACTTCAGCCAATTGCTCAAACAAGTTTGGTTACAATTTGCAGGCGAGGCTGCTGCCTATGTCTTGTCTACAATGTCACCTGAAAGTGAGAACAGGCGTTCGCATGGCACTGTTGTAGCCGGCGTCGCAAGATATTTACATGCCAGATGTGCTAAAGATTCATATGCCTCTTCATGCTTCAACCACCATACCAGGGAACATGCGTCCATGCTGATGACGGGTAGTCGTAACCATAAGTGTATCCTAAAATTCCTCCTTACCTGTAAAGGGTTAAGAAGCTCAAATAACCTGACCAAAGGAACCAATGGGGACAAAACATACTTTCAAATCTGGGGTGAGGGAGAGGCTTTGTTTTGGGTTCTTTGTTTCTGTGTTCGTTCGCTCTTGGGACTAAGAGGGACCGGACACTAATCCATGTCCTCCGAACCATTCTGAACCAGTCTCTCATATTACAGAAATTGTAAGTACAGCCAGACAAGGCGTATTAGTTTATCTTTGTTTTCTCAACTTGTGAATTTTCCCTTTGCTGGAGGGAGGTTTATCCCTGTTTTGTTGTAACTTTGAAACTAAGGCTAGAGGGGGTTCCTCTGTGTTTTGTGCATCTTTTGTTACCCTATAAAGTTATCTTCCAACCTGATTTTACAGAGGGGATTTTTACCTTTTCTTTTCTTTTTTAAATAAAATTCTTCTTTTAAGAACTGATTGATTTTTTTTTCAGCATCCAAAGATCCAGAGATTTGGGTCTGTGTTCACTTTGTAACCAATTGGTTAGGATATTATTCTCAAGCCTCCCCAGGAAAGGGGGTATAAGGGCTTTGGGGGATATTTTGGGAGAACAGGAACTCCAAGCAGTCCTTTCCCTGATTCTTTGTCTAAATCACTTGGTGGCAGCAGCATACTGTTCAAGGACAAGGTGGAATTTGTGCCTTGGGAAAGTTTTTAACCTAAGCTAGTAAAAATAAGCTTAGGGGGTCTTGCATGCGGCTCCCCACATCTGTACCCCAGAGTTCTGAGTGGGGAAGGAACCCTGACATGGGTTCTGCTCAATAACAATCCAAAGCAGTGTGGACCGACGCATGTTCATTTTCCATCATCTGAGTCAGATGCCACCAGCAGAAGGTTCGTTTCCTTTTTTGGTGGTTCGGGTTCTGTCGTTTCCGCATCAGAGTGTTGCTCTTTTAAGACATCTGAAAGCATGCTCCACACCTTCTCCCTCTCAGATTTTGGAAGGCACTTCAGAGTCTTAAACTCTGGGATGAGTGCTGTATCTATCTTTAGAAATCCCACATTGGTACCTTCTGTGCATTTTGTCAAATCTGCTGTGAAAATGTTTTTAAAATGAACACGTGCTGGGTCATCATCTGAGACTGCTGTAACATTAAATATATGGCAGAATTCAGGTAAAACAGAACAGGAGATATACAATTCTCCCCCAAGGTGTTCAGTCACAAATTTAATTAATGCATTATTTTTTTAACAAGCATCAGCAGCATGGAAGCATGTCCTCTGGAATGGTGGCTGAAGGGGCATATGAATGTTTAGCATATCTGGCATGTAAATACCTTGCAACACCCGCTACAAAAGTGCCATGTGAATGACGCTTCTCACTTTCAGGTGACATTGTAAATAAGAAGCAGTCAGCAGTATCTCCCGTAAATGTAAACAAACTTGTTTATCTTAGCAATTGGCTGAACAGGAGGACTGAGTGGACTTGTAGGCTCTAAAGTTTTACATTGTTTTGTTTTTGAGTGCAGTTATGTAACAAAAAAAAATCTACATGTGTAAGTTACACTTTTACAATAAATAGATTGCACTACAGTACTTGTATGAGGTGAATTGAAAAATACGGTTTCTTTTGTTTATCATTTTTACAGTGCAAATATTTGTAATCAAAAATAATAATATAAAGTGAGCACTGTGCACTTTGTATTCTGTGTTGTAATACAAATCAATATATGTGAAAATGTAGAAAAACATCCAAAAATATTTAATCAATTGGTATTCTATTGTTTAACAGCGCGATTAATCACGATTAATTTTTTTAATCACAGTTATTTTTTTTAGTTAATTGTGGGAGTGAACTGCGATTAATCAACAGCCCTAACTATAAATGGTAAAAGATATGTTGATCTGCTGTTAAACAATATTATGATGTATTACTAATGTAGAGATTTATTTTGGAGCTAAGGTTTGATCTAAACCTTAAAGGCCTATCATAATGTGTCAAAACAGTTGTATCCATTAAAAGGTGACTCTACCTAATAACAATACCACCATGATGACATCTTGAATGTTGTAATCAAAGTAGATTTATTAATAGAGTTGAATTTAGTTGTGAACCAAGTTAAAGCACGTTTACAGCAAAACAAGGAAGCCTTGTTAACCACTGTATTATTTTGGTTTAATACCAATGTAACTCCACTGATTTCAATGCTATATTAAATCTGGAGTAACATGATCCAAAGTATTATGGAAAGACACAATGAAGGAGTGCACAATATATTAACATGCTCATACAAAATTATGAGTACGTACTGTAAATTAATTTTTCTTATTATCCTGCTGCAGTTCTTAGTATTTTGAGAGTATTTGTCTTCTTAACACAAAACACAGGCAGGTCAAAGCATATAGGGACGCAGAAGTATGTTGAAAGATCCGGTTGGAGGGTTTATTTATTCGTTTGTTCTTTATTCTATTTTTACTTTTACAGGGTTTTTTTTAAAACTCACTATTTATGGTGTAATCTCTCTCTGTAACCCAGAGTGACTGGGAAACAGATTAAAACCACAGCATTTTCATCTCATTGTAAAAAAACTAACAGCTTTACTGCACAATATATTTGTTCTGGAGTCTGATTGTATTTATCTGAAAACTCTTTAGACAATTTAATTTATTAAACTCCCAAAAGTTAAAATCTGTCTCTTGAGCATGTTTCCTTAACATTTATAGTTTAAATCCAATAACCAAACGCATTAGAATGTTATATTTTTAAACATTGAATGTAGCATACAAACACAAGGAAACTAAAATAATGCTTCCCACAAGGCAGGATTAATGAAACCCTGGTACGAACCAGGCAACTTTTCCTATGAATGTTCCTCAGGAAACTATTATACTGACAAACACAATTAAACATTTGTACTTACGCATGGGCAAGGCTTTACGACATCACTTGGAAAGTAGCCAAGCTCCCCTGTGACTAGATTTCTACCCTAGAAATAGACAAAAAGTTCCCATTATGAGCAAATGACTGTGTAGATTGGAAGCAATCCTGTATGCACAGGGATTCATTTAAATAAACATACAGTAAAAGTTCTAAAATTCAATGCCAGTCTTACTCAAATTTTGTAAAGTAATAATTTCTTGACTTCTGTAACTAAGTAATAATTACAAATGGTTAAATCTGAGTGGTCTGGTAGATAGGTGAGAGGATTGGACTCAGGAGATCTGGGTTTTATTCCCAATTCTGTCACTGACTCATGTGGTTAAATCTTCATTGCAGAGCTAATTCGAGTTAACTACTCTGAAGTGTGAGCAACCATGCTGCGAAGTAACTCTTGAGCTGCACAGTGTGATTGTATTAGGGCCTGTCTACAAGGGAAGGTTTCAGAGTAGCAGCCGTGTTAGTCTGTATTCGCAAAAAGAAACGGAGTACTTGTGGCACCTTAGAGACTAACTGCTGTAGCTCACGAAAGCTTATGCTCAAATAAATTTGTTAGTCTCTAAGGTGCCACAAGTACTCCGTTTCTTTCTACAAGGGAAGTTAGTGAGCAGCAAGCTAAGATGGTTAGCTTAGCACACTTCAAAGCATATTAACCTAAAGCACACAGAGGCACTTCTGATGCATGGTAAGATTGTCCACAGGCAGATAAATGCAGAGTTGCTAGTGCTCTAAATTAGACTAGGCCCAGCATTCTTAAACATGGGTGCCTAAAGTTAGGCTCTTAAATGCATATTTAGGCACTGAAGTCCAGATTGTTAAAAATATTTAGGCAATTTAAGATGCAGATAGGTGCCTAGTGGGATTTTTGAAAGTGCCTGGGTGCCTAACTCCCATTGAAATTAATGCACCATCATAAACCATCATTCATAAATTGAAAACAAGGGTGGAGCTGGATGTAAAAAGGAGCCAAATTAATGAGTATTCTTGAAAAATTGGAAGTTTTCTTGAGTTGAAGTGCCCTAAGCATATTCAAAGGGAACATTATCTTCCTGGGAAGATTGCTATGCAATTTATCACACCCAGGTAATGATCACAGCAATTGTCACCTATTCCAAATAGACAGAAACTGTCTGATTATTTTGGTGTTATTCAGACTCTTTAGGCCTTTATGGAGGGGAGTCCTGTGCGACATGCAGTAATGGAAAAGATTTCACAAGTAGTAGGATCCCAGTGGAAGACTTTGAAGTCACTATCAAACACAAAATGGGCATACAGAGCAGAAGCAGTGGCTGCTGTAAAACAAAACTACTCCATCATTTTACAAGCTTTACAAGAGATTATCGAAACAACTCGCCTTGCTGATGCTAAAATAAAAGCCAGGGGACTTATCCATGAACTAAATTTATTCAGGTTCATCTTTGTCCTTCACATGATGCACCCTATTCTCCAGATGGTGGTAAAAGTGAGTAAGGCTTTTCCAACTCCAGCTCTCAACTTACTTACTGCAATGACAGGGGTGAAAAGCTTGTGTAACTCTTTGGCTGCGATGAGAAGTGGCCCAGAATATTTTCAATCTATTTTCAATGACAGTGTGAAAATGTGTGTAGAGAATGATATATCGATTCCCCCAGTTAAGAAGAGAAAAACGTTCACTCGTTTTGATGACACGTTTGAGTCCCAGCATTGCTTTGATACAAAAGAGACGCAGGAGAGAATAACTTCATTTTACCTACTCCTAGACTCAATGATTACCGGCATTGACCAGCAATTTGAACAGGAGACTTGTAAAATTGTGACTGCAATGGGAAAACTGCTGAGCTTAGACATTGGCAGGGACGATATGAGAATCATTGCCAACAAATTTAAAGTGTCCTTGGATGAGTTGGAAGCTGAAGTCGGATTGCTTCGGGGTTATGACGGATCTGTTCCTAAAGGTAGCACTACGAACACCACCAGAGAGTGGCTTGACTGGCTAAAGGAATTGGATCAGTCTTCCATGTTCCAGGCCTTTTATAAATCTATGCAATGCTTTGCAGTCTTATCTGTTACAAGCTGTTCATGTGAAAGAGTCTTTTCAAAACTAGCACATGTAAAAAACAAACTAAGAAGTACAATGTCCCAACAGCACCTCGACTTACTCATGATTTTGTACATTGAACAAGAATTTGCTTCATCAGTTAATTACAATGATGTGATCGAGGAATTTAAGTCCCTAACACCTGGTGAGTGACGTCTCATTCTCTAGGACAGAAAGATGAAGAAACCTTAATCTGCTTTGGTCAATTTGGGTTAGTGCATTAACTGGTTAAAGATCATAAAAATTGACTGTATCTTTGTATACGCCTGGTTATCACTACAGGAAAAAATTGGTATTTTGTGTCTCATTTTTTAAGTTTGTATTTTTTTAAGTAAAGTTTAGTTGTTAATTTTAAAAAAATAAGTTTAGTTAAGTTTTAGTTTCTTTAATTTGTTTGATGAATAAAAATAATGTCCTTTATGATTGAGTATTCAATAAATGTTCGCTTTAAAAAAAAAAATTCCCTGGATGCACACCCGAATGAAATGTGCTGTGCACACCTATGACACTCATACATTCTTATGAAATGTAACAAGAGATCCCATTGTCAGTGGACATCCTTGCATGTGAATTAGTATACAAGAAGTCTTCCCACCAAATTCAAATTGCTGTGGGATGCATCCACAAGTGCCAGAGCAGCCCTGTGAGGTCACTAGTAAGAGCCATCCACTTCTCAAAACTGTGTGGCAGCTGTTAGAAAATACTGAATCTTTAATGCCAAACACCATACTTCTAACAAGGCGGCACATGATGTGACTTCAGGTACTGGTGGCACTGCCTAATAGTGAAAGCATAACATTGGAAGTCAAAAGTTCTGAACTGTTTCATGACTCTGAAGACAATATTTAACTTCTCTGTGCCTCAGTTTCCTTATCTGTAAAATGGAGATAACACATATTTAACTCAAAGAGAGTCATTAGCATTTGCTAAGCTCTATCAAATCCTTCCTTGGAAGATGTTAGATAAGTACAAAGCTCTAATATTGCTATTTCCTATAGTACTTCTAAAACTCATTTAAACACTTTGGGGAAAATTCTGCATCACTGGCTAATTGACATCTGGCTCAAAATTCAGAAGGCACAATGGTAGCTTTGCTGTAAGTGAGATGAGTGAAGGGGGTGCCCTAGGGTTGCCAACTTTCCGAATGCAGAAAACTGAACACCCTTGCCCAGCTCTCTACCCCACCCCACCCTACCCTGACCTTCTCTGAGGCCCCAACCCCACACTTACTTCATCCCCCCTCCTTCCAATGCTTGCTCTCCCCTACCCTCACTCACTTGCTCTTTTTCACCGGGCTGGGGTACGGGAGGGGGTGAGGTCTCTGGCTGGGAGTATGAGCTCTGGGCTGGGGCCAGGAATGGGTGTTTCAGAGTGGGGGGGGCTTCTGGGCTTGGGCAGGGAATTGGGGGGTATGGGAGGGTAAGGGCTCCAGCTGGGGGTGTGGGATCTGGGGTGGGGCTGGGGATGCATCCCACTGGGCTGGGACTGAGCTGTTTGGAGTTGGGGGGCGGGTGCAGGCTCTGGGAGAGAGTTTGGGTGCAGAAGGGGGCTCAGGGCTGGGGCAGGGGTTTGTGGTGCAGGAGAGGGTTCCAGGTGCGGGCTCCGGGTGGCGCTTACCTCAGGTGGCTCTCGGAAGCAGCAGGTATTTCCCTCCGGCTCCTAGGAGGAGGCGTGCCAACCAGCTCTACATGCTGCCCTTGTCCGCAGGCACCGCCTTCTGGCCGCAGAGCCAGCGCTCGAGGCGGGTGCAGCAGGCAGAACCCCCATGGGGCTTCACCGCCACCTAGGAGCTGGAGGGAAATGCTGGCCATTTCCAGGAGCCTTGCAGACCCAGGGCAGACAGGAAGCTTGCCTTAGCCCCGCTGCACTGCCAACTGGACTTTTAACGGCCCAGTCAGCAGCACTGACTGGAGCCAGGATCCCTTTTCGACTGGGTGTTCCGGTCGAAAACCGGACGCCTGGCAACCCTAGGTTGCCTAGAGAAGTACTCCATGTTCCCTTTGCAGTATGGAGCACTGCACCATGGAAGTTCTCTCTCCAGCAACACAGAGCGATCATTTTCCTGGCCTGGGGCGGGGGGGAGATGATCAATGGCTTAGTGAACTATAGAAATCTATGTGAATGCAGGAGGACACCAGCTGACATGGGAGCAGCATCCCGTGACAAGTGGCACAGGCAGGGGCAGGCCCATGCAGGTGGGAGCAGGGATCTCCTGTAGTCTGGGGATGCACCAGTGGCCACCTTAGTGCAGCTGCATGGTATTTCATGGGCTGTGGAGAAGCAGTCATCTTCCCACTAGGTCATCCATGCATGTGAGGAGGCTATCACTCTGATTACTTTTTCAAATCAGCTATCAACAAAGTTAGCCAACACAAGGTAGCTGTCTTACCTGTCAGGAAATTAACGTGATCATAGCACTGCACTGCCTCTAGGAATATCTGCACTTGTAAATAAAAAGCTTTGCCTGTTTCATATAATTGTGGGAGTTTTAAAATCCTCAAAAATGTAGCGTACAAAAGTTACAGTAGGCTGAAAGGAGCTTTTTGTTTTTAAAATTCTTTGCTAATTATAGGATTGATATGAATAATTTTATGTTCATTCCTAATTATGTTTAAAATACAAGATGATTGTTTACTTTTAGATAGCCTGCTAAATCCCTCAAGGCCCCTTGTATAAAAACCTGTGATGCATGCTGTCAGGTATATGACTGTGGATTTCTGTACTGAGCGCATATGCACTATCCATCGCAACTAGCAGTGGATTTGTCGCACCACTGCACCTCAAATTTGCTAACAATTTCTTTCAACTGCACGTCTCTTCCTTGTTAACTGTTTCTCATGTGATGAGTAAGTAGTCAATTTCCTTCTAACAAAAGCCTTAAAGGCCATCCCAAATGCACTAGTAAATGTCTGGGCTGACTTGCTAAAGAAATTATATTACAGAGTGCTTGCAGCATATAAAGTAGCAATGAACTCCTTCAGACTGCTACTTTAAATGACACTTGTCAGTGAGACTAGAGGATGATTCATTATTCTTGAATCTGTTTTAATGGGGAGGTTTCCTGGAACCATTTTGCACAGTCACCCTAAATTTCCAGAGTGCTACCTGAGGTTTAGATATGCAACTCCCATTAACTTCAATGGACTCATGCAGAGCAGCTGAAAAGTTAACCCTAGGTTGTACAGTATCCAGTTTCCATCTTATTTTTATCTCAATCCTTTGATTGAGAAATTACTAATCTTGCCACAGATTTAGGCAACAACAGTGAAAAGAAACCAGGTTTTATAACTAAAGCTGGTCAAAAAATGGAAAACATTTCTTGTAATCTGAACATTTCCAAGCAATTTTCAATTCTGCAAATTTAGAAGAGGAATAATTTTCAACATTTTTATTGAAAAGGCCTATTTAGTGTATGGGTTTCCTTCGCCTTCTGCTTTTCTACATTCCCACCACAGCTTTTTTCTCTTCATTTTCCCCTTTTTTGTTTTTTTCACATTTAAATGAAACTGAAAACTGTAGTCATTATTTTTCTAGTTTCTCATTCCCTCTTGCCCCCCCTTCTCATTTTCCCACTGAAAAGGTTGGGGGGGTGAGTGAGTAAGAAATGGAAAAATGATGAGCTGAAAGAAAAAGTTACTTTTTATTTTTTTCAGGTTAGTAAAAAAATGAAAATATAAAAAAATCATTTTTTGTGAAAAGGGCAGGTTTTGTTTTTACAAAAAAATTGTTCATAAAATTTTGGACTATGTTCAGATCTAGTTTATTTGTATCATGCCTGGCACAGTTATAAGTAGACACGTTACCAAAATTAAAATGAACAAATGCTGTTCACATTCAGCAAAAATCACATCCTATCTTTCTCTCTCTCCCCTTTCCCCCCTCTGGTGATGGGACCAAATTAAGGAAAGAACCAAACTGAACACATCTGCACCATGTCTTAAAAGTCACCTAAATGGCACTCCAACAGGAGGAGGAACCAAGGCTCCTTCCACTCCCTGGAGTTTGATTTTGCACAAAGAGCAAAAATGTTCATCTTGAATGCTACAAAAAAGCATATGGTAACAAATAAATACTGAGACAATCTGATCCAGTTCCATTCAGAGATATGCAGATAACACTGATTAGTACCTGGAATTTCATCTAGAGGTGTACTAAGAGCTAATGCAGAGTACAGGACAGATGGTATATATTCATGTACTATACATTGTTCATGTAGTATTCATCCATCCCACCTATGAGGTCATCCCCACATTCTGTGCTGATGTTTCCAAATGGCCTTCAGAGGTAACATGGTGTAGAACATGTAACATGCAATATGTGATATATAAGCAACATATAAAAAGGATAATAAATTTCATATAGTACAGATTTCAACTGAATGAAAATTAAGCTTCTTTTTAAACATTAAGACTGAGATTTTCATAACTGCCTACAGGATTTGGATAATTTTAATGGGATTTAGCTGTCCAGATCGCCTAGATAGATTTGAAAATCTCAGCCTAACAGCTCTGCCAACCTAATGCATTTTCAAAAAAGACTAACATGATTTGTTCCACACTTATGAACATCCTGCAAAGTTGCACCTTAAAATGTTTACCCATCCACTCTTCAGCAAGCACCAAAGAGGACTACACTATTACTATAACTTACAGGAATTTACAGAGTCTCATAACTTCTGGCAACAAATGGGGCCAGAGCTTGGGAAAAATCACTGACACATCCCCTCATTGACACCACAACAGATGTCCTCAGATATATCTTGAATCAGCCCTAGGAATATATATCAAACAGATTGCAACCAAACTCATACTAGGACAAAAGCAGTTTGCAGACCAACTTTGGGCTCAGGTTCTCTACAAAATTTATTTCAATTCAATTTCAAGACAAAATAGAAACATTTAATGAGACCGTGCATAGGATCCCCAGTTACTTTCTTCCAAAGGCAGGTCGTTTACGGGGAAACTTACTGAAAAGCCAATCATAGTAAATAGGTAACTAGTCCCTGGAGACTCCCACATGCAGATTTCCCCCTGTTAAGTATAGTATAAGTATTTTCATATATAATTCCCCGATACTGGAAGATTTTTTCCAGGCGAACAATGTTGTTATGCTTGATATTTTGTTACTATAGATTTGATGTAGACTGTTTTGTTACTATAGATTTCAAGCCAGCAAGTCTCTACCTATTCTCCATTCTTCTTGCAGTACTTTAGTCTCCGGTGAGTTCTATCTACTACTGAAACATAGAAAATTTCCCCCCAAAAGGTAAAGATTTAATTTTTCATCCAAGAACAAATGTTCACAGCACAGTTACATTGAAAATGTAGAGGGACCATCAACAATAGTGGCATTAGCTTTGGTTAAAGCAAAGAATTGCTACAGGTTTAAGTCTGTGTTAAAGAAGTGTTGTTTTTCACAGTGGAAGAAACTAGTACAGTGCACATTGTATGCTTTTGGCATACATGGAAAACATGATTGCCCTGAGGACAGTGTATAATTGCAATGGAAACCTGTAAAACCAGCATTACATCACACCTTATATGATACATCCTGTAACCCCTGAAAGCTTACCCTCAGGTTAAATAAGTACTTTGCTCTGAACAAACTCAAAAGAAGAGGAAAAAAAACACATCAATAATAAAAATCAGACTTTGCACGATTACAGTTGCACCAACAGGCAGTGTTCCAGATAAGAGTCTGAAATTTCCATTTAAAACACCAAATTTTCTCTCTTTCCCCCTCCCTTTCTTATTTAATTAACTCTGTGAGTAACTTTACTATGTGTAAAAGTGAAGCATCAGTAGTACCAGTTCAAGCCACACACAGGTAAGCACTGTGGCTATTCCACTCCTAGACCTTGAGCAAAGAAAGCCAGTCATGCTAACTGGTGTGTCTGGATACTACCATGAGACCACCTCACTCATTTTCATTTGTGACTGAACCCCGATCTTCAGCTGGAGGTAGTGGACTAACCACTGTGGCATCAATCTCCCTCACGCCCACATCCCTCATTTTCAAGGTTTCATATTAAGGCAATTTATATTCCCTGGTTATATGGGAATTTGCTTTCGATGGTTCAGGTGAGAGAGTACAGGTGCTGGGTCCCTCCTTCTTACTCACTGAGACAGGCCAAACGATGACCTATAAACAATCCAGAATTTTGCCATCCTCTAGGACAATTCATGTTTATCCTGCTTGTGAGAGGGAGTAAAGAGAAGGAACCCAGGATGTATACAGTCTTGATTGAGCCACAGAACATGATGATAAAAGTTTGCAAAGGACTGAGACCAAGCATACAAATATGTCACTTGGGAAGATTTTCTTAACATTTATCAAAATGTATTTGGTTGGGTTTAAGTTATTAGAGAAGAGGAAACCAGAGTTTTTGTTTTTTGTTTTTTTCTAGGTTTTTTTCTGTAAAGCACAGAAAAATTGCACATAACTGTGCATACAAACATTTATTTATTACTAACATCTGAGCTTCTGGTCAGTTTATGAGTCTATCGTATCCACAGTGGTCTTTCAGGTCAGAAATAAACTATTCCAAAATGTCCCCTGAGTAAACATCAAGATTTTAAGAAAACCTTATGTTTTGCGGTGACTTCTTAATATGCATTACAAAGTGATCAAGACATCAGAGTACGTCTGTGACAACATAACCGAGAAAAAAGTCACCCAAAGATGCTAATGGGGATGGCACACAATTCTCAACATATTATTAATTAGGTTATTGCATTCTCAAAGAACAGTCTCAATAACAAAACACAGGAACAGCTATACCAGACACCTTTCAGATTCCCTTGCAGATATACCTTTTTCTTTACCATCAGCTTTTCCCAAATGTTATTAATTTGCAAATTGTCCATTTTGTGCACACACACACACACCTCCCTCCATTGTGACAAATTAAAAACAAACAAGAAAATATAATTAGAAAAAATTAAAATTCTTATGCCTGTCTTTAGAGCAAAATGTGAAAGCTGACACAGTTTGAATCTCTATTTGGTATGAATGTTCAATAAAGAAAACAATCTCTAACAGAATTAGCAACTAGAATCATGTGATATTGAGTTTCCATGGAAGCAACTCTTTTATCCAATCAATATAGTATAGTTTTCCTATAAACACAAAACAGTCATTATTTGACTTAGGCTGCCCCCGAACAAATTAAAAGAATTCTGTCTCAATCTCTGATAACTATTTTATCCGTTCTTCTCATCCAAGTCAAATATTTTATCTGGTTAGCATGCTCCTTAGTTCTATTGTCTGAGAGGACTTGGGAATTCAAAGCACACAGGGTACGCTTGCTGCTTATGTGCCATGCACTTTCTTCATCTTAAATCATTTAAGTAAATGGGTCACACCAAGGGCCCCATCTTGCAAACTTACTCACTTAAATGCATAGAGTTGTAAGATCAATCCCTTAGATATAAAAAGCAGTGTGTAAGCACTGCTGGCATCCGAAAGGTGAAATTCTTACATTAGACATGTATTTTGGGTAAAATGCACAAAAACTAAAGATTTTGTTGTTGTTGTTGATGATGATGAACATAAAAACAGGATGATGAACATAAAAATGAGTCAATAACAGTTTTCTCTCTCAAGCAATAGAATTGTAGCCATTGCTAGTCCCATACCTGCCAAAACCTGCTATGTGCATCTCCTTTGATGAGTTCAATAGTGTCCCCAGTCTGGATGTGTAACGGTGGGCCATCATGTGGTGCTGGCTGTGGTACCCCATTGTAGTTTCTAACGACTTGCATTTTTGGTAATCCTGCCAAAAATTGAATACAGGTTTTTGGTCAATGACATGGCAATCTAAGACATTCCAATGTGCATAAAATAATAAAATAAATATAATAAATAATAATAAAGATAATATATCAATGTTAGGAACTTAACTAGGAGCAGTCGGGGAAGGAAGTAAAAGCACATTCACCAGCTACTATATTTGAACAAGTAATGAAATGAGAAATTTCTCTCAGCTCCTCACTATATTTTTTTAGTTCAAGAAAAATATTTCTCTTTAGGCTACTGCTTACTTCAAAAAAAGCACAACACATACAGTTTAATGGAAAAGAATCATTTTTCCCCATCAACTCCATCCCTACCTCCTCCTACTTTCCTCTTGGGGCATTAGTTGATTTCATCACTAAGGAAACTCATCCTTTTCTGTGTATATATAACATTGGCCTTGTATAAGGTTTGTATCTTAAGGTTATCTTTGTAATCCAAAACAAAAATGTGATGGATGTGATGAAGTAATATTTAAGACATTGAAATGGAGAAACTCTCCAGGCTTGAATCAATGTTCCAAAAATGGTGCCATTAAAAGGAACATGTCTATGAATATCAGAGTGACAAACGTTCCATGCTTCTGATGCAATCTGTTTTTTTTTTTTTTTTTTAAACCTCATTTTTCTTAAGTTTGTTATTGGATATACAGTTCAATACTTCATTTTAAAAAACAGAACTCATGGTAGCATTCTGGCCTTATTGCACCAATACTGGCTGCATCTGAATTGGGATCTTTTTCAAAGGTGAGAATGCCATCTCCTGAAACATAAGCCACTTAAATTAGTCTAGCTTCAACTTTCAGGCACTGGATCGTGTTACATCTTTCTCTGTTAGATTGAAGAGCTCATTATTAAATATTTCTTTCCAATGTAGTACTTATAGACTGTAACCAATTCAACCCTTAACCTTCTCATTGTTAAGCTACACAGATTGAGCTCCTTGGATCTATCACTATAAGGGAAATTTTCCAATCCTTTAATCTTTCTCGTCACTCTTCTCTGAACGGTCTCCAATTTTTCCAACATCCTTCTTGAAGTGTGGACACCAAAACTGGACACAGTATTCCAGCAGTCATTGCAGCAGTGCCAAAACAGGGCTAATATAAACACACTTCTCCAACTGGAGAGTCCCCTGTTTATGCATCAAAGGATCAAATTAGCTCTTTTAGTAACAGTGCTGCACTGAGAGGTCACGGTTACAGGATTATCCACCATCACACCCAAATCATTTTCAGAATCACTGCTTCCTGGGGTAGAGTCTCTCACTGTATAAATATGGCCTACATTCTTTGTTCCTAGATGTATAATTTACATTTAGCTGTATTAAAACATATATCGGGGTAGTTTATTTTTTGTCAAGGTCCAAATTTCTTGCTCAAGGTATAGAAAAGGTCCAGACTCTAGAGAAAATAATTAAGAAAACCTCAATAATGATAATAAGTAAATAAAAAGATGTCAGGGTCCATTTAAAAGCATCCGGCTGTCCAGATTTGGCCCACTGTCCGTCTATGGACTACCCCTAACATATATTATTGTTTGCACAGAGTTTACCAAGCGGTCCACATTGCTCTGTATTAATGACCTGTCCTCCTCATTATTTACCTTTTCCCAAAGTTCACAATGATGATTTTATGTTTTCTTCCATGTCATTGATAAAAATGTTGAATGGTGTAGGGCTAAGAACAGATCCCTGCAGGACCCCCCTAGAAACACACCCACTCGATGATTATTCCCCATTTACAATTATATCTTGAGACCCATCAATTAATCCATGTAACGTGTGCTATGTTCATTTTATATCATTCTAGTTTTTTTAATCACAATGTCATGTGGTATACAGGCAAAAAAGACATACATAAGTCAAGCATGAGACAAGATCAGTTCTTCCATCTGTCTTTGATACATACTTTAATCTAATTTGGTTGTTTATCACTACACATGGGATGTTACAGGTTCCTATAATTAATTGGATATACCATGCTGCTGTAATCATATGAACCATTTTAGGTCAAATGCTCTTAAGAACTAAGCAAACGTGGAAGAACACAGTTCACTTGTCTGGACTGATAGATATCAACTGTTTTGCTGCTGAGAAATATGAGATAAACCCGCTTTTGAGACAGGCCTAGAATTTGGCTTTCCATTTTTTGTTTAGAAAGTTCGTCATTATATTTCTATACACAGATAAATACACATACACATGAATTATATTATATAGTAGAACCTCAGAGTTACTAACACCTCAGGAATGGAGGTTGTTCGTAACTCTGAAATGTTCATAACTCTGAACAAAACATTATGGTTGTTCTTTCAAAAGTTTACAGCTGAACACTGACTTAATACGGCTTTGAAACTTTACTATGCAAAAGAAAAATGCTGCTTTTAACCATCTTTATTTAAATGAAACAAGCACAGAAACAATTTCCTTACCTTGTCAAATATTTTTAAACCTTCTCTTTAATCTTTTAGTAGTTTACATTTAACACAGTACTGTACTGTATTTTCTGCCCCCCCCCTTTTTTTTTGGTCTCTGCTGCTTTCTGATTGCGTACTTCCGGTTTCAAAAGATATGTGTGGTTGACCGGTTAGTTCATAACTCTGGTGTTCGTAACTCTGAGGTTTTACTGTATATATATTGAACATGTACTTTATGGAGCAGTAAATAATCTAACAGTATTTTCAATGAGTAAGACTAAATTTCAAGCCAACAAAATATTAGGCAAAATATTAGGCAAAATAATACCAACTCTATATGATGTGACTTGGACTGAAATAAAAGAATAACTATTCCATCAAATTGATTATATTATCTAATACATCTAAAATTAGACACCTAAACTTAAAAAAAATTTACTGCCTTCATCCCAGCTAGATGAAATACCAATTCTGGCTTCATTTAACAGTTTAATCAGGTTGCCACTCTGCAAAATACATATTGATCAATGCACTACACAACTGATTCAGCATCAACCATTTTTGCCTTCTGTGTATGGTGTTGCATATGAGTGAGAGAATGTTTGCAGCAGTATAGATTAGTACCTATTCACAAGGCTGATAACTTTGTCCTAATACAATAAAGTTTCCCTGTGGCAATATCTTAGAAGATAGCACTGCGTACTTGGTCAATGAGCTGTCAGCATGTCCTGGCCTCTCACTTTTGAGACCTAATTTCAAGACTAAGAAACTTACATTAAAAATTATGTTTTACAAAATGTCAAATCAAGTGATTTTAGCTTTTTTTCAATCAAATGTTTACAGTCTGCGTATACAGCACTTCACTACCTCTTTGTGACAATCTCACTAGAAAGGCATTAAGGAGTACTTGACTATGTGTTTCACTGGGAATCCTACTTTATTAAAAATAAGAATTTCAACCATTAGAAAGGTCAGAACAATCATGGCACGCAGAATTAACAGATGCAGCCTGATTTTTAACTTTTATTTACGGAAGTGGGAGTTGTGGAATGCTCAGCAGGCCAACAGTGTTAAAGAAATTCCATGTTGTCTCAAACAGCAGAATTGTAAAAAAGATAGCACAGGATTAACAACATTAAAAGATATCACAGTATTATCAACATTAAAATATATCATGCCTGTGTGCCTTGCATAAAGTTTAAACATGCTTAATTCTGTTAAGACCAAATGCTACAGTAATTACAATGGCAGAAGGGAGTTGTTAACATGAGACTGCAGCACTTGGCCTCCAAGAGGCTGATCTAAAACCCATTGCAGTCACCAGAAAGAATACGATTGGCTTTCATGGGCTTTGTCTCAGGTTCTTATTCTTGAGTCATGTGATTTCATTTAATTATTATTGAAACAAAACTCTGTGTGATATTTTCAGTCTCATAAATTTTTGGTGCCAAAACTGAAGTTTCCTAAAAGAGCTGGCTAACGCACTGGACCATGGATTAATGATCCCAAGCGACACAGGCACTGAGTACTCTCATTGCCCACTTGAAAACTTCAGTGGCAGCTATGGGAACTCAGCATATCACCTGACTACACGAGCCTACTTGTCATATTTGCTTATATAAATAATGAATATTTTTTGTTTTTACTTACAAACACCTCATGTTAATTTAACTTCTGAAATTTGCTTTGCAGCTAAAGTAGAAGGATTTAAAACAAAATTTTCAGGTCTATGATTATTGGCATTTTAAAACAAAATATAAATTAAAAAAGAACCGTTTTCCTTACAGTAGGCTGAAATTGAAGGTTCAGTATAAACTAATGTGCTTTTACCTGTTCCTGTAATTTTTGAACATGTAATGTATTTAACACAAGACAGGCACAGAGGAGACATAAATTTAAAATTCGGCAAACTGAAAATACAATGACCAACTATTAAAGTTATTTTACCTGGCACATTGCATACCCGGAATCACAACAGGATGGAGAATGTAAAAATATCTACTCCACTAAAAGATGCTTTCACAAGGTCTATAAACTGATTTTCATATTCAAGAGGCAGACCTACCATAACAAGCTAATAAAGAACTTCAAAAGCAGGTCAAAGTCTCTCCTGTGTTAACCCTCCTCCAATAATGGGACTGTCTGAGTCACAGAGATTATGTTCTCTGGTTATCCCAGCAAATCCAGACATGGCACAGATAACTTGTATTGATTACACACGTAAAAGCAGTGAATCTGTAGGATGTATGCATCATTCATGATCTGAAAAGTTTCAGTGGAAGGAGCTATATCTGCACCATAATTTTAATATATAGAAAAAAGATTATACTTTTCCAGAGAATGAAGACTAACACGAATCATGGAAATTACTCCAAAATGTGCATATGCTTTCTTCCTTCTATAAAAGCTCGTACCACAGAACCTCAGCTGTATCTCAATTAGGCGTGGAGAGAATGATTGGGGTGCATGGAAGCATACAGCAATGAATGAGAGAAGGTAGTTAAGGAAGGAGAAAGTAGTTAAGGACATTGAAGTCAATGGTACATGGGACAAAATACAACAT